AGAGCTGAGATATCGAAACTCAAAATTTCGACCCGAAAAAAAAACGACAGTGTTACCCCTTACGTTTTTTTTAGTTTTGGGCGAAAAATCAAGTTTCTCCAATCTTCTCAAAACTCTGGATTATGATAGAGGGCCGCGAGACTTTGACCCGAGCGCAAAAATGGAGGCTCTAGACCCTTCCAGAGCTGAGATATCGAAACTCAAAATTTCGACCCGAAAAAAAAACGACAGTGTTACCCCTTACGTTTTTTTTCGTTTTTGGGCGAAAAATCAAGTTTCTCCAATCTTCTCAAAACTCTGGATTATGATAGAGGGCCGCGAGACTTTGACCCGAGCGCAAAAATGGAGGCTCTAGACCCTTCCAGAGCTGAGATATCGAAACTCAAAATTTCGACCCGAAAAAAAAAACGACAGTGTTACCCCTTACGTTTTTTTTCGTTTTGGGCGAAAAATCAAGTTTCTCCAATCTTCTCAAAACTCTGGATTATGATAGAGGGCCGCGAGACTTTGACCCGAGCGCAAAAATGGAGGCTCTAGACCCTTCCAGAGCTGAGATATCGAAACTCAAAATTTCGACCCGAAAAAAAAACGACAGTGTTACCCCTTACGTTTTTTTGTTTTTGGGCGAAAAATCAAGTTTCTCCAATCTTCTCAAAACTCTGGATTATGATAGAGGGCCGCGAGACTTTGACCCGAGCGCAAAAATGGAGGCTCTAGACCCTTCCAGAGCTGAGATATCGAAACTCAAAATTTCGACCCGAAAAAAAAACGACAGTGTTACCCCTTACGTTTTTTTTTGTTTTGGGCGAAAAATCAAGTTTCTCCAATCTTCTCAAAACTCTGGATTATGATAGAGGGCCGCGAGACTTTGACCCGAGCGCAAAAATGGAGGCTCTAGACCCTTCCAGAGCTGAGATATCGAAACTCAAAATTTCGACCCGAAAAAAAAACGACAGTGTTACCCCTTACGTTTTTTTTTTGTTTTCGGGCGAAAAATCAAGTTTCTCCAATCTTCTCAAAACTCTGGATTATGATAGAGGGCCGCGAGACTTTGACCCGAGCGCAAAAATGGAGGCTCTAGACCCTTCCAGAGCTGAGATATCGAAACTCAAAATTTCGACCCCAAAAAAAACGACAGTGTTACCCCTTACGTTTTTTTTCGTTTTCGGGCGAAAAATCAAGTTTCTCCAATCTTCTCAAAACTCTGGATTATGATAGAGGGCCGCGAGACTTTGACCCGAGCGCAAAAATGGAGGCTCTAGACCCTTCCAGAGCTGAGATATCGAAACTCAAAATTTCGACCCGAAAAAAAAAACGACAGTGTTACCCCTTACGTTTTTGGGCGAAAAATCAAGTTTCTCCAATCTTCTCAAAACTCTGGATTATGATAGAGGGCCGCGAGACTTTGACCCGAGCGCAAAAATGGAGGCTCTAGAACCTTCCAGAGCTGAGATATCGAAACTCAAAATTTCGACCCGAAAAAAAACCGACAGTGTTTTTTTTAGTTTTTGGGCGAAAAATCAAGTTTCTCCAATTATCTCAAAACTCTGGATTATGATAGAGGGCCGCGAGACTTTGACCCGAGCGCAAAAATGGAGGCTCTAGACCCTTCCAGAGCTGAGATATCGAAACTCAAAATTTCGACCCGAAAAAAAAACGACAGTGTTACCCCTTACGTTTTTTTTCGTTTTTGGGCGAAAAATCAAGTTTCTCCAATCTTCTCAAAACTCTGGATTATGATAGAGGGCCGAGAGACTTTGACACGAGCACAAAAATGTAGGCTCTAGACCCTTCCAAAGCTGAGATATCGAAACTCAAAATTTCGACACGAATAAAAAACGACAGTGTTACCCCTTATGTTTTTTTTCGTTTTCGGGCGAAAAATCAAGTTTCTCCAATCTTCTCAAAACTCTGGATTATGATAGAGGGCCGCGAGACTTTGACCCGAGCGCAAAAATGGAGGCTCTAGACCCTTCCAGAGCTGAGATATCGAAACTCAAAATTTCGACCCGGAAAAAAAACGACAGTGTTACCCCTTACGTTTTTTGTCGTTTTTGGGCGAAAAATCAAGTTTCTCCAATCTTCTCAAAACTCTGGATTATGATAGAGGGCCGCGAGACTTTGACCCGAGCGCAAAAATGGAGGCTCTAGACCCTTCCAAAGCTGAGATATCGAAACTCAAAATTTCGACCCGAAAAAAAAACGACAGTGTTACCCCTTACGTTTTTTTTTTTTTTGGGCGAAAAATCAAGTTTCTCCAATCTTCTCAAAACTCTGGATTATGATAGAGGGCCGCGAGACTTTGACCCGAGCGCAAAAATGGAGGCTCTAGACCCTTCCAGAGCTGAGATATCGAAACTCAAAAATTCGACCCGAAAAAAAAACGACAGTGTTACCCCTTACGTTTTTTTTAGTTTTTGGGCGAAAAATCAAGTTTCTCCAATCTTCTGGACGGAGGAATTATGGGATGGCGCTTGGTGCCACGGACTCAGGGGGCCCCTCTGAGTGCAGTAAAATAATTTTTATCATGACAGGAACTTTATTTAAAATGTCCAAAAAATACACTACCCAAATCCCCATTCAATAGATTGCAGGCGGGATTCTGTCCAATTGCAGCTTATTGCATGAATGCTGGGGTTAGTACTTTTCAAATATAGTGGGTTATTGGACAAAAAGTGGGTTTGTGGGACGGGGACTCGTCCGATGCACACAGGAAATGATTCTAACATGAATGCATTGATTGATTCCTAGGTTTATTTTGTTATGAATAAACAAATGTGCAATCTATAAAGGAAAAACCTTACGATTAAAGTTGTAATGTTATAATGTTCCAAATTTTTGTTATAAAATAAGAAAGATGCACACAGAAAATGACTCTAATGTGACCAGATTGATTGATTCAAAGATATTGTATTTTTTTACTGTATTATAGTTGAAATGGTATACTGCTGGAATTTTTTTGACCTTGAGAAAAAGCTTAAAGTATAGACCAACAAATTTTATGTTTATTAATTTATTTCATGTTGGTACATTTTTTTGGGAAGTACACCTGTTTTGACCTGATGTCCATTGGAATGGACAAAAAAAAAATCACAATGAAAGCACTATATATATATATATAAAAAATTGTTTTCATTTATAGAAACCTCATGAGCTGGGAAAATGTACTTTTATATTTTTCAGAAACTTGAAACATAATTCAGGTCTGAGGGGGTTAAAAAGCTTTTCACAGCAGAAACCTTGATTAAAGGCAGCAAAATAAACTACGTTCACATAGTTATATTATCCCACACATTACACGCACTTTTAATACCACTGCGCACAGAAAAGAAGACACGGATACAAAGGTTTATTGTTTTACAGTACAAAAACAAAAACAAAAAAACAAGATTTTATTAAAGAAGCATAAAAAATAAAACTCTTGATACATTTCTTATAACCGTCAAGTCAGCTCAAATTATACATGTATACAATTGTTCCAGCTCGCGGTTAAAAGGTCCATAAACTTTCAAATAAAATATATTTCAATTTTAAATTTCTTCAATAATTTTTTCTCATTTTGTTATAAATTGCCTATATGTTGCACACAGGAAAACAGAAATATGGAAAATAAAGATAAATTTGCTGTAATAAAAGGGTCACATTATAATCTGGGATATTTATGTCAAGGTAAGCAAATAAATTGTAAAAATAAAATGTGTAAAAAAGTTTTTTTTTTTTTGTCTTTTCATTTTTTGAAAACTGTTAGCTAATGCCTCATGGCTTCAAGACATGCAGAGTTTAACTTACAAATAATGATACATGTTTTAAAAACTACATCAAGTTGTACTTTTTGAAAACAAATCCCAATGATTGTATTGAGGATATTTACAATTAGGCCTGAAAGTCTTATTGAAATAACTTTTGGTTCTGCGTACAAAAAGGATTCAAGCGAACGTAAAAAGGAAAGGAGAGCAAGTTTAGAAAGAAAAAAAAAAAGATTCATGGGAAAAACAGTATCTGTCATCATTCCAATGCAAAACTGCCTGAGACTCGCCTCAGTGAAACCCTGTCCGAAGGGAAACGATTCAACTTCAGGTCAAAAATCACGAGTGATTCTTCACTGACCTTCATCGCCAAAACACATCATCACACACACACAAGTGGGAACAACTACAGTCTTGTACCTTTTAACCAGTTACACTAAATCAGATTCTGGGGAAAAACCGGCTCAGATTTACGACACGTCTCTCTATACAAATACTCTCGTTCGAAGCGATTCACAAAACTGGAAGAGCGGAGAAGGTTCGTCACAATCTTCGTTTCTCGGCGGCGAGTTTCACCACCAAGGCACCGTTTTCTGGCACTATCGATCACTTTAATAATCCCCAACACGCCAAAGAAAGAAGGAAACGGCGAGTCAGGTGAGATCTTTAGAGAAAGAAACCTGTACAAATCATGCAAACCCAACAAAAAAACTCATTCATAAGATGTGGGAAAGTCCCTCACTTGCGCGTACGGAAGCCCTGCGTGATTTAGCTGCCACACGGACTCAGTCGCGACTAAAGATCCTGTTTATTAGCGTTTGGCTTACGCGGGATGACCTGAAGTGTAGTGTGTAACCGGAAGCCCTTTAGAGTGTGAATTCATGGCTTGTCACTAACGTTTAAAAACCTTTCATGAGGTTTAACGGCAGCTGACGGGAACCTAAGTGCGGGAACGCTTTAACCTCTTACGAGGGCCGGAAGACACTTTTACTCCAGCGAAAGAACATGTCAATGTGTCGCAGTGCACAAAAAGCGATGGCTCTCACACACAAACATACACACTCGAAAAATTAGAATATGGTGCAAAAGTTCATTTATTTCAGTAATTCAACTTAAAAGGTGAAACTAATATATTATATAGACTCATTACAGACATGAAAACCTTTTCACGATATTCTAATTTTCTAGCCATAATCATCAAAATTATAACAAATAAAGGCTTGAAATATCTCACTTTGCATGTAATGAGTCTATATAATATATTAGTTTCACACTTTTTCACGATATTGTAATTTTTCGAGTTTCACCTGCACAAACACACACTCACAACAAAGAGAAACATTCGAGTAAACTTACAAAACCCTCTTGATAGAGGGCGCTGTTCACAACAGATGTAGTTTCCACACGTCCACGTTTAACTGTAAAAACCAGCGACCCTGTTTCAGGAGTGTAGATTGTTGGAATGAACTAACTAATGTGACGTTCGTCCCTAAAACATCGAGGAGCATGAATGTTTTTAAGGTAGTGTGGCAAAAAAAAGCACGGTTATGATATTTATAACATGTACTATTCTATCAGATTCAACATCGACTAGTACGTCAGATACGTATAAATATTAAGCATTAATATCTCTGGTGTTTTGGTCTACATGAACGCAGTCTTGCGTTTTACGCCGCCGTCGTCGTCGACTGCATTAAAAACAGAATGCGAAAAACAACAAGATCTTTAGAAAATAATTTAAAAAACGACCACGGCGGCGGTGGCAACCCTCTAAAAACAAATGCATTAGACAAAAAGTGCAGCGTAAAATACCTGCGAGTAGAAAAAGTCAGAAGCATGAATGGAAAAAAACCCATATGAACATGAACGGCTAGGATTACGCAAGTACTTGAGTGGGTAATAGTCATCATCATCATCGTTATTATTGTTGTCAATAAATCAGAATAGTGTCATATCTAATAATTACTCAGTCTTTAATAGTTTAGGAGAAGATCCGGATGCACTGCGAGGCAGGAATGTGACACACGGGACACTCGGGCTCTGGCGACTGACAGATTTGCCCCGCGCAATCCATGCAGAAGAGGTTGTGTCCGCACGGGACTAGCGCAGCCGTCACTTCGCTCTCGCAACACACGTAACAGTCTCGCGGCACCATTCCCGCCAGGGCGCCCGCTTTCAGACGACCCAACATAGTAGAAGCGACGCCAACACCACTTCCACCACCTTCAGAGTCAGTCGGCGAGCCACCCGGGAGCGACGACCCCGAGCAGGAGGAGTAACCGGTGGTGCTCCCGCCGCTACTGCTACTGCTCCCGCCTGAGAACGACCCGCCACCGCTCGTCTGCAACCAGGAGAGGGCGCTAAGCGGGTCGCTTTGAGCACGGCGAGCGAGCGGGTGATCCGGGTCGGGCGATAGCCGCGGGGTTACGGCGCCGTTGCTAAGACCGCTGCTGTTGCGCCGAACCGGCTGCTGTTTCGCGCCGTTCACAAAAGGAGCCCAGATGTTAGCGGCGCCAAATTCAAAACCCAAATCGTCGGTGGTCGCCGGCAAATTCGGAGTCGAGTCGCCGCCGGCGAATGAGAAGCTCCCGCCGGCGCTGCTCGTGCTAAAGGGGCTCGTTGGGCTTCCGGCGTCTGCCGCGCGACGGCTCACCGAGAACGACTCTGCGGCGTTTGATAATGACATTTTGCGTGTGGATTGGTGAAGCTGCGATGGTGGCGGAGGAGGGGGCGGAGCCGAATGAGTCGCACGCGACCAAAGCGCGCTGCTAAACCCGAGCGCCCCGAGCCCTTCTAAACTCACATCCGTCCCATTGCTGTGGAAGTCGTTATCGCCTTGGAGGTCGACGAATGCGCCGGTGCGTAACGTGATGTGCGTTTCGATCTCCTCCCGCGCGCGGTCGACGTTCTCAGGCATCCCGGTGACCTCGAACACTGGGTCTTTCTCTCGGCTCGGAGTCACGATGTAGGTGTGCGTTTGTTGCTGGATGCGTTTGATCGTGGCTCCTTTGGGTCCCACCACTAGACCCACGACTCTGTAGGGAACGCGCACCTGGATGGTGGTCTGTCCCGGGAGGTTCGGCGGGCCGGGAAGGGAGCTGCTAGTGCCGGGCCCGCTAGCGCCCGCTTTGCAGCGCGAGGCTCGTATCATGGAGAAGTGCTCGGCTGCTGAGATGATCTCTCGCTTCGCCATCTCCACGTCTTCGCGGCGACCCGTCACGATGAACACGGGCTCTTCTCCTCTCACGGGGGTTTTGATGTAGGTGTTTGTTTTTGCACGCAGAGCTTTGATCTTACAACCTGCAGAAACAACGAGAGAAAAACAAAACATTGTTGAACTAGAATCAGGGCTCGCACTAGGGGTGTGTAATGTATAACATCAATGATATTGTGATCGTTGATCGACTCGCTGCCCTGGAAGCCTTTTCTCTGGTACGCTGACAGGAACGACCACTCAGGCAAGAGCAAAGTGTTTATGTTAACCAAAAGCGGCGTTCGCAATTCTCCTTGAAGAGAGCTGGTGTGGTCGACATTGAACTGGTATGTTTAAGCCTAAGGTCTTTTTATCCATATTCCACCCGAGTTTGGGAACAATTTAACCATTATGTTTACTGTTAAAATAACTATTATGTATACTAATTATGTACGTTTTTTCTCCATCCAATCTGATGAGGTTTTGGTTCCTTGCCACTGTTGCCTTGCTTTTGGCTTGCTTAGTTGGGGTTATTTAATATTTAACAATATTATTGATCTGTGTTGTACTACTTTCATGTTATCACTGTGAAGCTGCTTTTATACAATCTGTATTGTGAAAAGCCCTATATAAATAAATATGACTTGACTTGTTTATTTTTGCACCAAGTGGGAATGCTGCAAATGCAGCTAAACTTACAACAGACTGTGCTCACACACAATTAATTTAATATTAAAACAATTTAATATTAAAATCACTAAAACTTAACTTATTATATAACAATTTATTAATTTGTAGTAATAGGCTAAAGTTTTTTTTAAAGGAATCATGAGTTGATATGACTTAAATTAATTAAAAATAATAAGATTTGATGAGTTTTTTTAATAGACACATATTTATAAAAGGGGGTATTATTTACATGCTTTATATATATATATATATAGATGCAAAAGCCTCTAAGTGCCATTTGAAATTTTCTTCTAGAATGATCATTTTTATGAAGCTTGAATATTTAAGTTCAGTGATTTCACTTAAATGGCAATGATAATTACCTATCAATTGTTATTTAAGTGAAATTACTGAACTTAAATATAGAAGTTTGACAAAAATCATCATTAAAGAAGAAAATTTCAAATGGCACTTAGAGGCTTTTGCATCTGAACTCTTCATGGATATATATATTTAACATGCACATAATACTTTAATATAACAATTCCAGCTTATGTATCCAAGCCTCTATGTGGTTCTATGTATATTTTATCTCTATGAATTGCTTGCTGTTCTTTATTGTGAAGCATTTTTGGGCAAATCGTGTTGCATTAAACTGAGCTATATAAGAATGAAGAAAAAAATATGCATCATCAATAAGTGACACTTCTTTCACTTTCATAATTGTAACCAGGTCACATAAAATAAAGCCTGCAAGTATAGCATTTTAAACGATTCAAAATTCTCTCACACAACTGACCCCGTACATTAATATTAAAGTGCAAAATAAAGAAAAATAGACATTCGTGTCGATTTGTTTTACGGATCACGTGTTTCCATTGTTAGCAAACAGAGGCGCACTGTTCCTTTAAATCCGCGAGGCTTCTTTCACTCAGCCAATGGCGCGCGTGCTCGGTGACGTCATTGCGCCAGCCTGAACGCATGGCGTTTCAAACAAAGAGAACAATGCCGCTCCGAGCCAAAACCTCGCGCCGCTCGCATAAATCGCACTTGTTGTACACAAACACACATAAAGCGTGAACTCAGTTTGGTCATTTAAGCAGGCGCGTGCATCGGACGGCGCACGCGCGCTGGAACGCGCCTCAGTGTGGCCCTGTATACTTGCATAACTCATATCCTCACATGACCCCAGTGCACTGCATGCAGACCAGCGGATGATGCTCGACTAAACGCGATCAGAGATCGATCATCAGCAGACAGAGGGACGGGCGTGAGGCCCGTGAATCCGCATCGCTCGATACGAGTCTCTTTTGTCTGGTTTCGAGCGCGAGACACGTCCAGACCCCCTCCTCCCTCTCCAAACCCCTCCTCCAACACCAACAACAGAGCAGAACATCCACCCGAGCCTCCATTGACACACTCCCGATGTTTATAAAGAACAAATATCGGCCAAACCGAAAAAAAAGTACGAAAACACTAACGCATGCATGCAGAAACAATAACAGAAACATAACCGGCCGCTCACTAACTGATTATAATGCTTACTTATGGTTCTGATGCATGCAATTGCATTGTTTATGATGCATAGGAACAGAAATGAAGACTAAATCCTAGTAAATATTCAAATGTAGTTTTTGCATGAAATCTCAGACATAAATAACACTACTAAAGTGAGGATTTCCCTATTGTTGGAACGCAATGCGTTTACTATTTGTGCTCTCGTGGAACAAAGACTAGGTGAATATTCACATTTTCAACGCAATGAACAATCTCAGACAACGACTGATACTAGTACGATTGTGTTTACTATTCAAATGCATTGCATTTCTTGTTTATAATCTCTTGGAACATAACCAAATAATCTATTTAAAATGCAAATAACTACTTGCAATGCTCACCCTTTGTTCAAATGCGATGAAAGTAGTCATTTTCATGCAAAATGTTATTTTAATAACTGTGTGTGTGTGTGGTATATGTATATATAGAAAGAGAGTTTATAATCTCTTAGAACATACACCAATAATAATATTATTAACATGCAAATTATTGCATTTAAACAAAAAGAAAGCATCGTTATTTGCATGCAAACGGTTATTCTAATGACTAGAGATGCATCTGAACAAAGGGAAAGCATTGCATTTATTTGTTCCACCACGGATCGTTTTCCTTTCGTTCATGGTATCATTTTATTGAAATATGTTACAGTAAAATTACCTTGTCTGCCGACGATCTCCGCCACATGCTCTGACGTGGGCACGGGCACACACTCGGTCATGTTGACACTTCTCTTGCGGAGCACCGAGCTTTGTTCCCCGAGGATGGAGGAGTGCGGGCTGGCCATGTGGTACCCGTACTCCGGAGAGGGCGAGCAGGAACCGGGAGACTCCCGCGAACCGTTCGAGTGCTCGAGCATCTGCAGGTCCACGTAACCACCCCCTCCGTTACAGTTCTCCCCGGTGGTCCCGTCCAGACAGTCCACCTTCTCCAGAGCCATGAGTGACAGCTGATCCAGGGCGAAGCGAAGCGCCTCCTGGTGCTCCTCGTCCCGGGACTCCTGCTCGCTCTCCCGGGCCCCGGTGCTGCTCACAACCATCTCGTGATCCATGATATCGGGATGAAACAAGGGACTGGGCATAGTAACCCCGCGTGTGCATCAGACACCCAACCGAAACTAGAAGAAACAACACATTTACACCATTAGAAGCGGCATGAACCGCTAAAGCTCGTGCGTCTCTTTTGTCTGTATTGTGTTCTGTGCTTTAGCCCCGCGCGCGCGACTCGCTTCACTAACGGTTGTATTTCTTGACAAGCGGTCGTTATTACATATAGTTAAAGCACGTGACCTCGACACTAAATCGGTTTAATCGTGAGTTATTTTAACGAGATGTGTGAACATTGAAAGCGAAGTGTTGTTGTTGTTGTTAGCCGAGCCGCTAGCCGGAGACGATCAGTCACATTGTCGCCTTTGTTTGTGGATCTCAGGCGCGCGCGCCACGCGGACAATCAAACCGGCCGTTACGGAGACCGGCGGAAGAGAATGTCACGGTAAATGCCGTGGCGGAAGCCTCACCTTAAGTCCTCCCGCGCCGCTTGCCGCTCTTATCTCGTGTTTTCTGGAGGATGAGGGTGATGATGATGCTAACCGCTAGCGGAGCTGCTAATTGTTGGGGGGCGGTTGGAGAAAAAGTCCGTTTTAAAAGCATCAATAAAATAAATCAAACTCCAACGCGCGGTAAAATCACGCGTCCCGCCTCGACGCCGCTCTGCTCATTGTTTTCTGGCCGTTTTCAACGTGAGAGAGGAATAAAGCGCGTTCTCCCGTTTCACCGTCTTCTTTGTCTGTCTATGTGTGCAGACGCACGCCACGCTCTCTCTCTCTCTCTCTCTCTCTCTCTCTCTCTCTCAACCGTCTCCCCCTCTCTCTCGCTCACACGACACTGACGTCACCCGGCGCACAACAATGGGTTCAAAGGCCACGCGCTGCGCTTGTGGAGCGAGTATTTCTTCCCAAATAAATAAAAAGGCTGAATTTAATAAATTGTGAAACACTATTGAAATTTCAAAATAAATGTTTTCTATGTGAATGTATTTTATTCCTGTGATCAAAGCTTTTATAACATTATTCACTAGCACCGTTTACAAGTTTTGGTGTCAGTAAGATTTTATTTCTCTCTCTCTTTTTAATTCTAATTTTTAGAAATTAATACTTTTATTCAGCAAGGACGCATTAAATTGATCATAATTGTCAGTAAAGACATGTTTCTAAAAATGCTATTTTAAATAAATGCTGTTCTTTTGAATCCTGAAAAATAAAGTGCGTCAAAGTTTCCACAAAAAATTTGAAGCTTGATAATTCATAAATGCTTCATCCTCATTCACTGAAGTAAATTCAGCTTTGATCACAGGGTTCTACTTACATAGAAAACAGCTATTTTGAAATTTTAATATACTTCATAATTTAGCTGATTTTACTGTATTTTTGATCAAACAAATGCAGCCTTGGTGCACACGGTTATTTTAACACACATTAAAATAAACCATGCACACGTTGATGTGTTGAAAGTCTTTTATTTGCCATGTATACAAAATTATCTCTCTCAGCTACAAGGACTGTATCCTCAAAATAAAGGAGCAACATTCAAAACCACGTCCCCTCCATATTTCATAATGATATCAAATAAGAAAAAAATGCATTATTTAAGTTAAACCATGGCTGTGTGAAGAATAAGTGTAAATTAAAATCAAACCTACTGACGAGATCATGAATTCAACAACACAGGGAAATAATCTGATTTTGTGCTGTAACCATAATAATAAATCACACCTCATCAGTGCATAATTTCCAACCACAGCTTGATCGAATCCCTCCAGAAATACAGTAAAAAGGTCTTTTTCACTTAACTTTAATGATCATGGACATAATGGCCACAAGGCTTGATGGGAAAAGCACCAATGTAAAAGCTCATGTCATGTCTACGCTCAACACAAGCCAGGAAAAAGATTGAGCACCAGCTATCACAAAACAATATGCACTTTATTATTAGTCATAAAAACATGGCATTTTTGCTTGTGTGTAAAAAAAAACAACTGATGTTGCATGATCTTAGCTTACAATGTCTGAGTAAAAACAAAAAACAAAAGAAAGGTCCGAAAACTCAGTCGAACCCAACGGACACGTGATGGAGAACTTCAGAAATCTGATACAAAAATAGAGCAGTTAAAGCACATCTAGTTTTATAAAAACTGCTTGAAATGTTACGGGAGTAAAACATGAGTTTCACAGTCGAGTTAGAGCGGAGCGGCCGGAGAGAGGGTGTGTTTCTGCATAGGGATCCGCTCCGAGTCTTTGGGTTTGTGGGAGGAAAAATACTGTCGTCCAGGTTGATCCCGTCGCCACCGATCAACCCTGAGAACACACACACACACACACACACAGAGAGAGAGAGAGAGCATTACAATCAAACAACATCAACACTTCTTAAAGGGATTGAAGAAAAAAAAAAAAACACTTTTGGAAGATATTGTAATTTTTCGAGTTTCGCCTGTAAATGTCTGGGTGTTTTAGTCTAGTGTTAGTCAATGAAACCTTAAAGGGTTAGTTCACCCAAAAATGAAAATTCTGTCAGTATTTACTCACCCTCATGTTGTTCCAACCCCGTAAGACCTTCGTTCATCTTCGCAACACAAATTAAGATATTTAAGATATTTAAGATCGCTCCTGCATACAGTCCATAGGCTTCTTGAGGGACTGGCTCTTGCTGTCCCCGAAAAGTCATTAAAGACATCGTTAAAATAGTCCAAGTGACTACAGTCGCTCAATCTTAACTTTATCAAACGACGAGAACACTTTTGTGCGCAAAAAAACAACAAAAATAACGACTTTATTTCAACTATTCACTTCCTTCTCCATGGGCCTGTAGTCAGTTAACGTAGTGTGATTGCGTAGAGCTACGTCACACGTAGGCTCACTATTGGCCGACGCTGGTCATGTGTGTGTGATGCGTGTGACGTACAATAACAGAAGCTTACGCTATTAAACTAGTAACCTGAGTCGAAATAAACGAATAGTTGAAATAAAGGCGTTATTTTTGTTGTTTTTTTGCGCACAAAAGTGTTCTCGTCGTTTGATAAAGTTAAGATTGAGCCCCTGTAGTCACTTGGACTATTTTAACGATGTCTTTAATGACTTTTCGGGGACAGCAAGAGTCATTCCCTCAAGAAGCCTATGGACTGTATGCAGGAGTGATCTTAATATCTTAAATATCTTAATTTGTGTTGCGAAGATGAACGAAGGTCTTACGGGGTTGAACAACATGAGGGTGAGTAAATACTGACAGAATTTTCATTTTTGGGTGAACTAACCCTTTAAGTCACATTTTTATCATTTTGCATAATGGTTAAATTTAAAATAAAAAATTAGTGCATTAACAAATCTTTACTTTTTTTGATCTAAAAAAAATTATATTTACACTACCGGTCAAAAGTTTTAGATCAGTGAGATTTTTTATGTTTTTAAATGAAGTCTCTTCTGCTCACCAAGGCTGCTTTATTTGATTAAAAAAAATGACAAACAGTAATATTATGACAATTTAAAATGACTGTTTTCTATTTTAATATATTTTAAAATGTAATTTGAAAGCTGAATTTTCAACATCATTACTGTTACTGATTACACATCAGTGTCACACTATCCTTCAGAAATCATTCTAATATGCTGATTTTATGCTCAAAAAACATCAATTATTATTTTCAATGTTTTCCCCCAAAATTCTACGATGAATAGAAAGTTCAAAAGAACAGCATTTATTTAAAATATAATCTTTTCTGACATTATAAATGTCTTTACTGTAACTTTTGATCAATTTAATTGCATCCTTGATGAATAAAAGTATTTTATAATTTCTTTGAATGGTAGTGATTAATGTTACAAAAGCAATTTTGTTCTTTTGAACTTTCTATTCATCAAAGAATCCTGAAATAAAAATGTAAAAAACGGTTTTCAACATGGATAATAATCATAAATGTTTTTTGATCCTCATATTAGAGTGATTTCTGTAGGATCATGTGACACTGAAGACTGGAGTAATGATGCTGTAATCATCACAGGAATAAATTACACTTCACTATATATTCACATGGAAAACCGCTGTTTTAAATTGTAATAATATTTCACAATATTACTGTTTTTTTGTTTTTTTTTTTTTTATCAAATAACTGCAGCCTTGGTGAGCAGAAGAGACTTCTTTTAAAAACATAAAAAAATCTTACCATGTTTAATACCAAAAATCCAAAAATCTCACCAATAATGTTTTAATTATTTACTCTATTTTATTTTATTATTATGATTTTTTTATTCTAAACTGTTTTAATTATCCTGATTATTTTAATTTCTTTTCAAATGAGGAAAATTGCACATTTCTACAATCATTAAAAAATGAAAAGAGACATTTTTTAAAGCTTCTATAATCTCTCCGTAAAAACACTGGATGGATTGTTTTAATATCAAAAGCGTGATGATCCTGGGGTGGATCTCTTACAGTTATACAGTGTCCATGTCCTCATCGTCGGACTCGTCCTTTGGGGATTGGGCATCGCCGGCGTCCTCCTCTATGTGCGCCAGCATGTCTGCCATGAGCGCTTCTTCCAGCCGCTTCCTCACGCTAAACACCAGATCCTCCTGCTTTCTGTGGACACAACACAACGATTCAGTTGTCATGTTCCTGTCATGATCCTTAAAGGGACAGTTCACCCCAAACATGTAAACTCTGTCAGTAATGACTCTCCCTCATGTTGTTCAACCCCGTAAGACTTTCGTTCATCTTCAGAACACAAATGAAGATATTTGTGATTAAATCTGAGATCTGGATCACTCCTCCATAGGCTTCTAAGGGATTGAAACTGGCCGGCTCAGAAAGTTATTAAAGACATCGTTAAAATAGTCCGAGTGACGACAGCGGCTCAATCTTAAGTTTATCAAGCGACGAGAATACTATCTGTGCACAAAAAACAAACAAAAATAACAACTTTATTAATTAATTAATTAAATTGTTCAAACTTAATTAAATTGTTAATTTCCTTCTCTGTGGGCCTCGAGATAGTTCTCGTAGTGTAACAGCGCAGCGCTTCTGTGTCATACGTCACACGTAACTCACAACTCGTACTAGCGCTGTCACTTTACGTTCGAATATCAATCGGACCAACCGACACAAGTTTCGAAAACGAAAACAGGCTCGTGATTGGACAGCGTTTCCTGCCAAAGTTCATTTTTACACACATCTGACGAGTCACAATCCCCGAATGTTGCGCTCCTGTTTGTCATTGTGCAGAAACTTCACGGCAATAAATCATCAGGAATATTGCCGACTCGTGCGTCTCAAGCGCCTCTTTACGCTCGTCCTAACGCCTGTTAGGTGTCCGTGGATTCGCCCGTATTTGGTGTTGAAAATGGAAACGTCTTTAGACATGGAAAATCGATTCAATGAACATTTGCGTCTCAAAAATCGAACAGGATTTTTTCACAAACTCGTACTGAGAAGGATATTTTTATGTAAATAGTTGTGCAACTGCGCAAACTTTGTTTTGAAGTTTAATGTTTGTGACCGTTTCACCTGTTCAACCACATCAGTGTCCTGGTGAAGCAGTGTTTGAAATATAGCCCGACCGATAAAGGATTTTGAAGGCCGATACAAATATTTTTGGGTTTTAAAATCCGATATTCCGATATATCGGCCGATATTTTATTTATTTATTTAAACTGGTCATGATAGTCACATATTTTGTCCTGCTTATGTGAGTTAAGAGAACAAATGGGGATGATCTTTTAATTGTTATTCAAGCAATGACCAACTCAACGAGTGTTGCCAACAGGAACGGTGTAGAGCGCCCTCTGGTGGACAAACTATACAACTCCAACACTCATGACATGCTTCAAGCGTGTTTCGTCCATTTTAATTTTATTGTTGAAATATTCATCGGCCATTATAACTGCCGATACCGATAGTTTGGAAAATGCCTAATATCGGCCGATAATATCAGTCTGCCTCTAGTTTGAAACCTATGTATTTGTTTACTTCTCGAAGCATAAAACACAGCATATTGCACAAATAAAGAAGGTATTTACCGTGAGAAACAGACCTCGGGTTCAGGCTAAAAATATAACCGTAATGCTCGGGTGGGGTTACTTGATTTGGGGTTTGGGCTTCGGGGTGTACCTGATGTCCTCGTCGGTCACCATGAAGGCTTTGCAGAGCGGCTGTGTGGTGTTGAGCCAAACGCCGGGGTTCTTCTCCACAGCGGCGGACAGCTGACCCGTGATGGGGGCCGAGCTCGTGTGCAGAGCGCTCGCTAGAGCCGAGAGGAGCGTCTTATCTGAGTAACCTGGACCAACACCTGCCGGTTCAAACATTACAGTTTACACACACGATACTGCATGACTGCCCGAAGAATTCACTGCGTTTCTAAGCCCGTAGATAGTTTGCTTCCTGCACTATAGGAAATGATCAGAGCTCGTACTGTAGGTAGGGCCGGGATTTGAAAAGGGATTGAGGTCAGGAATCGGATACTTGTTATAAAATTAAAACAAGTAAGTCCGACTGTTACTGTACATTTTATTTTATTTTTGACACTGTATTTTATTTTTATTATTATGATTTTTTTTTTTTTAATTCTAAACTGTTTCAATTATTCTGACTTCTTTTGATTATTTTAATTTCTTCCATGTAAAGCACTTTGAATTGCCACTGTGTATGAAATGTGCTGTATAAATAAACTTGCCTTGCCTAAAACTGATTCCTCTAATCGATTCCTTTGTGAGCATTTCATTATGACTTAAACATTTCATTATAACTCTTAAAGTGACAGCAGCCCAATTTTCCTGCTGCAGTCTATATAACACTAATCACACAAAATGAACTAATCTATTCCAGAATAAATTCGTTCATTTCGTTCTTCGAATGAACCAAATCACACGAAAAAAGATTTGTTCATTTTGATGAACGAGTTCGAACAGGAGAGTCACAAACGCGCATCACAGAACAGAGCAATGCGAGCATTTGAGCTTAAAAAACTTAAACTTTGTTATTTTTTTTAAATGAGCGCTCGTTTCACTTGATAAGACTCTTATTCATCATCTGGAATCGTTTAAAGCCCTTTGAAGCAGCACTGAAACTCTCTTTTGGACCTTGAACCGTTTGGACCCCATTGAAGTCCATTATATGGAGAAAATCCTGGAATGTTTTCATCAGAAACCTTCATTTCTTTTCGACTGAAGAAAGAAAGACATGGACATCTTGGATGACACGGGGGCGAGTAAATTATCAGCAAAAGTTTTTTTTAAAGTGAACTACTCCTTTAATAATGTTTGAAATGTATATTAATTCTTGCTATTGTGTTTTTAAACCACAGGAAAGATTGTGTTAAGTGTTCTTTAGCCTGTCGATTTTTGCTCATTATATTCAGCTACAATTAAACGTTTAGCAATAAGACTAAATGTGAATGATATATTGTTTATCTTATAGGAATCAGAATAGATCGATACCCAGCCCTACGCCATCTCAGTAGGAAAGGATGTTTGAGAGCTTCTTTTCCCGATTTACCTTGCAAACCTTTAGGAAGATCCATGGTCTTCACCAGCTCCTCTGCTATATCGTAAGTGTTCAGTCCACTCAGCTTCTTTTCCCAGAACAGCTGTGGAATAAACCGGTCAAAGGTCATCACACTGCTGGGGTTACAATAACTGCCCAGGGGTGCGAGATGTTCGCTACCAATAGAGTTCAATCGAACTTGCAATCATAGTTAGCTAACAATGTGTTTGTTAGTCTATGGACCGCAAACTTTTGAATGGTAGTGTGTGTGAAACTCAAGAAATGAGAATATGGTGCAAAAGTTATGCATTTATTCCAGTAATTCAACTTAAAAGGTGAAACTAATATATTATATAGACTCATTACATGCAAAGTGAGATATTTCAAGCCTTTATTTGTTATAATTTTGATTATTATGGCTTACAGATATGAAAACCTTTTCACAATATTCTAATTTTGAATTTGGGGTTTTCATAAACTGTAAGAAATTAATAATCATCAAAATTATAGCAAATAAAGGCTTGAAATATCTCACTTTGCATGTAATGAGTCTATATAATATATTAGTTTCACCTTTTAAGTTGAATTACTGAAATAAATTAACTTTTTTGAGTTTCACCTGTATATATAAATATAAATATTAGGGATGCACCGATATGAAATTTGACCGATACCGATAACTGATAATTCTTTATATTTGAAAGCCGATAACCGATATATCGGCCGATAAACTTAAATCCAAATTTTTATCTAATTTTGAGAGCCTGATTACAAAAACAAAAGTCTCACAATTAAATCCACGTCCCAAGCGCACAATTATAATGATGTTCTCATTATAGTGTTGTATAGCCGATATGACGGATGTTGTCCCGAAACAGATTTTCATTTTTTGAAGAGATTTCAATCATATTTCAAGAAATTCAAAAACAAACAGTTCTCAAAAAGTGTCTCAGCTGAAGGGAATAACACATTATTTATCGGTTTTAATATATCGGCCACATTTTCTTACCAGGCCGATAACGATAATGTCAAAAATGAACATATATCGGCCGATACCGATATGCTGGCCGATATATCGTGCATCCCTAATAAATATACACATAAACTAACACACACACAGGCGCTGATGTTTACCTGTTTGGGCTGGTCCACAGCCTTCTGCGGGTCAGTCTTGACCTTGTTGCTGGGGTGATTTGTAACTTTGGTGACGGGCTGTTTAAAGATGGACGCCGTCTGACGGACCGGCAGTGATGTGTTCAGATCCGGTTTACCCTGAGCAAAAAAAACAGGCATCATTTTTAAAACATTAAACATCAACACAACAAACAGATCCAGACAAACCAGCCAGCGGACAAATTTGGTGAGTTTGATTTAAAGGATTATCATTATCTGTTGATTCACTCTGTCGCACGTCATCCGAGATGTTCATGTCTTCCTTTCTTCAGTGGAAAAGAAATTAAGGTTTTTGAGGAACACACTCCATATAATGGACTTTAATGGGGTCCAAACAGTTCAAGCTCCAAAAGAGAGTTTCAGTGCAGGTTCAAAGACTCGACACGATCCAGCCGATGAATACGAGTCTGATCTAGACAAACCAAGCGAATGTTCTTTCCGAATGAAGAAAGGAAGACATGAACATCTCGGATGACGTGCGGGAGAGTGAATCATTCTGAAGTGAACGACTCCTTTAATGCTTCATGACGCTCACCTTGCTCTGACTGTTATCGTAGCGTATTCGCTGCCGGTTCTTGTTCAGTTTGCTCATGAGCATTTTCCCCGTGCGGAAATCGAAGGAACTGAGATCCATGGAGTTTCCCAGATACCGCACCAGCTGTGGCTTACTCCGAAACTTCTTCCCTGTTGGACTAAGAAGGAAGAGAAAGTTCAAGAAATATTCATTATTGTCCGGGCCGACAGAAGCAATTTCAGTTTTCACAGCATCTTAAAACATAAAAAACCTATTTGCACAAATAATTCTGTGGCAAACATTTACACAAATCAAATCACCACAGAAAAACACATACTTTTCTAATGTTACAAATATAAACAAACTATAAATTATCGGTCCAATTAGAAGATTTGTCCGATATATTAAAGCTGATAAATAATGTTTTATAGCTGCACACTGTTCAACATGATGGTTTGAAATTGTTTCAAATTTGAATAGAATTTTATTTTGTAAGGAAAATTGGCCTTATGAGTGTAATTTTCTTTTAAAACAACTCGGTGACTGTAATTTTTTGTATTAGTTTGATTTATGTTGAAATGATTGGGACGTGTCTTTTAATGGTGAGACTTTTTTTTTTTGTAATATGGCTCTCAAATTATATATAAACTTAAAGAATTATCGATGTCAGGATCTCCAAAAATGTTAGCATCCCTAAAAAAAACAATAATAACATTTGGCATATGATTATAAATATACATCCTTTGCAGAAATCACACAAAAGTAAAAAACACGGAAAGCAACACAAACACAGACACACTAGAAACACATACAAAACTGTTGGTACCACAGTACAGTGACGGTATACCATAGTGCAAATGATCATCATATTCATGTGCACTGGTATTTCTTCGATATGTAACGTAAAGTTACACTGTATTAAATATTTCAACTATTCCCTCAATAAAGCCAAAAGTTTGCAGCCCCTACGGCAACTTTTTCTCTTTAATACAGTGTAGAATCGAACATAAACAATCAATATGAACAATTTATTAAATTAAAACTAGCTCAAACAATAGTTAAACTAAATCAACAGAGAGGAACAAAACAAAAACAATGAGTTAGCATGCCAGCTAACGCAGATTAGCGGTCAGTGCTAACTCGCACGAGATGCCAAATCACGATGTGTTTAATGTGCGCACCACAAACAACAATAATCTGCAATAATATCGTACTAGAACACTAAAATAGACAATTTGAGGGCGGATTAATAACTGTTAAGTAAAATATAAAGGCATTTTTTGTCTCGGCTCGCTGGTCTCCGGCTAATCCCGCTGCAGTACCTAAAATAATAGACATCACTTTTCCCCGCGGACAAGCCCGACTTTCTGGTCACTTCTTCCATTTTCCAACCATTCGGGAGAGCCGAGCACTCCCACCTTTTCCTCTCCATGTTTTCCCGGAGTCTCTCTGGAAGGAAAAGCTGTGGATGTTTGGGGTTAAAAGCGGCCAGTTGCTGTTCTCTATCCGCTCACCTCGCGACCTTCTGACTCATGACGACTCTCTGTGAACTAGGAGTCGATTCACTGTTCATTCATCTGCGGCGCTGGTAAAAACAAGTAGATAGACTTTAAAAGAGACTAAAGCAAGGATAGATACTTGAAAACATGTCGGTTGTAATTCTCGGTAGTCGATTGTTGTTTAACAAAGGAGAGCGCGGATGACTCGTGGAATCGGATCTTACGGTTCAGTTAGAATCGACTCGCTGTATCAACAAAATTATGTAAGACACAAAGCCTTTATAATTGTATTTTTGAATGGCAGCAGTCCATGAAATACCTAAGAAAAAATGTTTGTTTATATATATATACACACACACACACACACACAAAGAGAGAGAGAAACCAACTTAAGTTAAACAAGAGTCATTTAAAAGCATTTTTAATATGGTTTAACCACATAAAGGTTAAAAGTTTTTAAGCCTCATCCATTTTAATTTAAAACCTTCACTTATTTGTTTTTACGAATGAGGTTAATGTAAAATCACATTTTATTATTGGTAAACTCATACTTATACATTAAAGCTGATGGTTACACTTTTTTTGAAGGTGTCATTGTTTTTCTTGCAATAATGAGTGATATTAACCTATACATACTACTCTATATATATAGTGTTAGTTGGATGCAATAAATGCATGTGAAGTGTAACAAGGACACTAAAATAAAGTTAGCACGGTGATAATAAAGCAAAACCACATCAAACTTATTTTTTTTTTTTCTTTTAATATCAAGAACCAGCATTAAACCTGCCATTGAGCAGAATTAAACAGAATTAAACCAGAGCTCAGGTCCACGCTAATGTTATTAATCATATAATTACAGTATATTTATTCCAAGAGGTTTCAGTTGGAACAAATGGTGAAGCGTTTCAACATCTCTTTAATACATATTTAATTCTGAGTCCGTGATCGTTCTCTTTTCATGAGCACACTGATAAATCACGAGGGGGAAACGGATTCAACGCTCCAAAAAATAAATATCACATTGTTCATTGACTCTGATGAAATAGTCCGTTTCACACGATGGATTGGTTTGGTTTCAACGGCCGTGACGAGCGTCTCCGTCTTCAAACCGTCCGAAGCGAGAGCGACCTGCGGGAACATGAAGCACGACATCAGTGACATGCGGCAGGAACACACACACACACAGACAGACACACACACACACACACACACACACACCTCCACCTATTCGTCCTTCTTGAACTTCCCGTTGATGTAGGGCACGTAGTCCAGGATCACCCTCCAGTCTGTGAAGTGAACGAGAGCGACGCCTCCGACTCCGCCCCACACCGCCAGCGTGGGGACCCTGGACACACACACACACACACCGCTGTATCACATCTCATACACGCACTCAGATTACTATATACATATACATATATATATATGGAGCACACATATATTGAATTAGTTCAAACTAATTGCCCCACGGGGATTAATAAAGCTTTAAAGTTAAACTTATATATGTATATACTTAGAAAAAAAAAAATATATATATATATATATATATATATAGAGCATCAAAGTAATCAAGATAAGGTAGACTATTATCCAGTAAATTATAGGGATGCACCAATATGAAAATCTTGCCGATTAATATTTGAGAGGCGATATATTGGCTACAAATACACATTTTATATCATTTTGACAGCCTGATTACAAAAACAAAAGTCTCAATTAAAAAATATGTCCTAATTACACAATTATAACAACTTTCTCATAATAATTGTATGTAGCCTCTATGACAGATGTGTTGCACAATACTGTATTTAACTTTTTTGAAGTGATTCCAATCATTTCAAGGAAATAATCCATTATTTATCGGCTTAAATATATCGGACACATTTTCTTTTCAGGCCGATAACATTAAAAAACCAACTAATATACGAACCGAAACGATATATATACTGAGCCTCCCAACAGTAAAGATCTTAAGTTGCATGTTTAATGTAGAGCTGCATGATTCTGGATTGAAAATCACAATTTTTTGTTTCACGATTCTGAACAGACAACTAAATAAAATTAAAAAATGCAATTTTTTTTTTTCTGGTTGAGTGAATAATTCAATTACTCACTCATTAATCCTTCACTTTTTTCATTACTGGATGAATCAGTGTTTTCTCTGATCAAATCTTAAATTCTCAAATCAAAATGCTTGATTGATTCAATGACAAACATATGTTTAACAGTCACTGGTGTAACAATACAATCTTTATTTGAAGCGTCAAGCTACTATCAAAAGGAGATTTACCCTATTTTGATCACTATCGTAGACATCATAGTTAATATTGGAACTTTAAGCTTTTATCCCAGTAAAGTAATTAAAAAAAAAAAAAGATTTTGATGCCATAAAATATTCCCCCAAATAGGTGTCAACATCAAACACAAATAACATTCCATTTTAAGGGCCTACGGAAACCCTAAAGGGACACGTGATGGGAGGAATAAATTATTTTAATGCTTAACGTTTTATCAAGAGCCATGAAAGCCTGACTTATTAAACATGATACAAAACATCAAACAAACGTTTGCACATGTCAGGCTTTACATTACTGTTTATTTTTTACAATATTAAGAAATCAAGGCACGTTGTTAAACATTAACCATTAAACATTACTATAAATAATAATAACACAAAGTAGAAAACGAAGAAAAAAAGCTCAAATCATAAAAAGTGCAATCATAAAATATGTATTATTTTTATATTGAATGAAATACTTAAGAAACACTTTTATCATCATTACTGACCTTCTATCGTGTGTATTAATGACTGGTGTTTAGCTTGAAACCATGCCGATAAAGAAACACACTCAAATCCCACACTACACGATTAAATAAACAGAATATGATTGATAAACTACAGTAAACAGTGCAGTTCCTCAGTGTTATCGTGACCTGAGCGCGTTAGCTTAGCATGCTACAGTCAGGTCGAGACAAGGACAAAATCATTAATAGACATGAATCATGAGATAATATTAATAAAACAGGGGGTTCTCCCGATGTATGGGGGTTTACCATGTTCTTACCATGTTTTCGCGATAGCTACGTATTTCTGTCCGATTATTTTGCCCAACATGATCAGACCTGTGTGGAGAGATCGAGATGAGATGAGAATCGCAGCAAACGCGCACAGGAAACTACGGATGAAGAAGCGTCATCAGGCCGCGACATGAGCGGAAAGCCAATACATATTAAAAGTCTCTAATGCTGAGTCTAAATTCGTCTGTTTATATTACGCTCTAAAAGTATGTAGGCTACTCTTTTTGTGAAGAAATGTGCACATTTATAAGTGTGTAGCAGAAGAGCTTTGGGACATACTACCTCTGTCGCAACCTGTCACGCAAACTGATCTGTCAATCATCGTGTCAAAGATAAAATCATCCACATTTCATTTCCTACTGTATCGGAGTCGGAGAGAAATGTAGAAGCACGTTGATATAAGTCGCGGGTCTTTCATGCAGATAACTCTCCTCATTTTATAGTTAATGGCCAAACAGATCTTTATAAATGTCCAAATTGTTATTGTAGATTAAATATAACACGGAAAACATTAAATACATATTTTTCAGGTTAAACTTTGATTAGTCACTGAAACTTTTATCTAAACCTGTCACCATCGGTCGCGTATATTCGCCATGTTTTGTAGTTTTTTAACACTTTTTACTCGTGTTTGTAGTTCTCGAGTAAAACTCCAAAGCGCAGGGAATTGTGGGTAATATCACGGATCCGCACTCTGATTTCTGGTCTGTCATTCTCTTTTCAACATATACTATGCTTTGGGACACACTTATTCTAATCTCACACACACTGTTTGGATGTACATTTAGACACAGCGAGCATGGCATTGGCAATACAAATTAAAAGTCTCTAAATTTAAAGTCTTCATAAAGTTAATTTTTGTGCTAAAAAGTCTTATTCCACCATGTTTATATTTTTGTCGTTAAGGTGGAAGTCACATGTTCCAAAGAAAACCCGTATTCATTTAATGGGTCTGTTATTCTTAAATAAAGAACGATAATAAACGGTCAGTTTTGTTTATGATAATAATGTCCAGCAGGAGGCGCTCTGAGACTACACACGTGCAATCTCTTCATTTAATTTCCATCCACATTTCTTGTTGTTACGATGAATTTATCTCTTAGTAAGAAGATATTTAAAATCTTAGTTTTATGATCAAAGCTCTGTAGTATTAAAATACGTTTATTTAAGGTGTCCTTGTTACAGTGAAATTATACATATAAACTACCAAGTGATATTAATTAACTACATGCACTTTGTGTAAAAAGGTTATGTTTTGGTTATAGTTATTGCTAGTAACTATAATAACACATGTAACAAAGACTAAAGTGTTACCATATTTAATAAATCTTCCTCAAAAGCCTTATGGTCATATTTAATACTCGTAAAACATGATTTTTCAACCAAAAATAAACAAATAGCTTAAACCCCTGAAGGTGGGTGTTTAAATAAAGAGTTTGGCTTATAATATTTTTTATGACATTGAAGTGACTTGAGGTCAAATCTTCTGCATGCATGAATAAATGTTTATGTATAGGCTATATATATATTTAAAAGACACATTTAAAACTGTTTCTATTACAGCACGTTTTATTGATTTATTTATATCAAATTACAATCAAAATTCTAAATTTTTAAAATAAAAATTCAATCAAATGTATTCATTATTTATTTAATTCAAACCCGATATATTTTAATCAATTATTTTATTTAATCAAAATCTTTATTTTTAGTCAAGCTAGTTATTTGTATCAGATGTATTCTTTAAATAACAATCTATTTTAATAATTTTTAATTTATTTTAATCAAATGTTTCTAGTACTACGTTATTTAAACAATTCGTCAATTTAATATGACTTTTTTATTTAACTAACATTTTATTTTGATCAAATGTATTCATTTTAATTGATATAAGTTGAGTTTAATCTAAAATATTAATTTATTAATTTAAATAAATATTTAAAATGTTTCTTTCCTTTTATCAAATGTAGTTTTTCTATCAAATTTAATTAAATTGTTTAAATGTATTTAGTTATTTGCATTAAACACATTCTTATTAAATTGTTTTTATGTAGTTATGCATTTAAAGTTTATTTATTAATATTTCAATTTATTATTTAAATATATATATACTTTTTTGTAATTTAATCTTATTTTATTCAACAGTTTTTATGTAGTTACGCATTTAAATCAGTGAATTTAATTATTTTAAACCTGATAATTTATTCATTTAAATATTTTTTTTTGATCAAATCTAACTCTTATTTTAATAAGTAAACCCCCAGCTCTCCCTTGCAGCTTGAAAACCCCTGAGAAACAGATGTGTGTGTGTGTGCAGAACAGAATTCATGCAAACCTCTCAATGTTTACAAAGAAAGTACTTTATTTGCTCAGAGGAGCAAGAATTCACTTTAACATACATCTGGAATTCTCATGTCCCTCTTCACGTGAATTTATAAAATATTCTCAAGTTGAAGCCACAAGACGTGACGTTTCAATAAAACCTGACTGACTCCAGGATAAAACTGAACAAAACGATGCAGGCACTAGTACATAATCACTCCCCGCGGCCGGAGAATGAGGAAGGCCACTCTCTCTCCTTTCAGAGTTACATTTTTGCAATACATAAACAAGAATAATTCATATAATCACCTTTCAGTGGTAAAAGATGATGTTAGTACTAATGAAGAAAAACAAAAATGATCTCTAGAGATAAACTCGGTACTGTGTTTCCCTTCAATTTGGAACGAAAACGTCTACGAATGAAACCACTAGATGTAGTTTCCTCAGGTGTGGGCAGGTATTGACACAAACGCAGCACTTTTGCACAGTGATTATTTACCTTATAAACAAGTGTGAGAAAACGCACAAATTGGCATCTCTAATTTCATACACGAAAAAACAAAACAAAAAAAAACACTAATTATTTCCAAGCTCTCCCGATATAAAAAACAAAAACAAAAAAAAAAAAACGTACGAAAATTGCAACAGAAATATGAAACACAATTTGTTCCTGGCAACTAGTTTTTTGCCATTTATCTAACATTTAAAATCAACATAGATAATAACAAAAACAAGTTAACACAAACACTTAACAGAACTTTATAAAAGAAGTAAAAAAAAACCTCGGGTCGTCCTGTAACGACCCTTCAGCGGAGACGCGACGACCTCTCGCGCACTCGATGAACCCGAGGGTAATTTGCGCAGTGAAGTTCAGTTCGTGTCGAGTGCGAGGCCGTGAAATGCTCAGACTCGAGGGCTTCTCGTGTGGTTCAGTTCGAGACGTATAAAAATGAGTTGCTAATGTAAATGAGACGCACTAAAGAGAGAAGATCATCCAGCGTTTCCCAATACTCATGAAACACACACAGAACACAAGCTCTGGTGAATGATGGACGACGCTAGAAGGAGTCGCACAAAACAACGTCACATTTCACCCAAAAAAATAATAATGATATGTTGATTCATTTTATTCAGGCATTTGTGCATATTTAAGTATATATACACACATACAAAAATTGTGTTTATATATATATATATATAAATATATATATAGCTATAAAACAATATATATATATATATATATATACACACAAATGGTGTTTATATATATAGCTATAAAAACACAATATATATATATATACATATATATATACAAATGGTGTTTATATATATAGCTATAAAAACACAATTTTATATATATATATACACACACACACAAATGGTGTTTTTATATATATATATATATATATAGCTATAAAACACTATATATATACACACACACAAATGGTGTTTATATATATAGCTATAAAAACAATTTTATATATATATATAGACACAAATGGTGATGTTTTTGTATGTGTACATGTATATACAAAAAAAGTTGATAAATTATTTAGCTATATATACACACGTGTATATATATATATATATATATATACACACGCATACAAAAATTGTGATGTTTTTATAGCTATATAAAATATATATATATATACACACTCACATACATATATACATACAATGGTGATATTTTAGAGCTATATACACACAAATTTTGATGTTTTTTAGAGTTATATATATATATATAGCTTAAAAATCAACATTTTTATGCATGTATACATATATATATATATTGTGTGTGTATGTGTTTATGTACAAAAAATGCTGATTAATTTAGTTATATACACGTGTGTGTGTGTGTATATATATATATATATGTGTGTGTGTGTGTATATATTTTATATAGCTATAAAAACATCACAATTTTTGTATGTGTATATATATATATAGCTAAATAATGAATCAACATTTTTTATATATACATGTACACATACAAAAACATCACCATTTGTGTCTATATATATATATATAAATTGTTTACAATTGTATGTATACATACACAATGTTGATGTATATATTTTTCTTCAGATAAAGGATATATATATATATATATATATATATATATACATATAATCTGAGGAAAATTAACACACACACATATATATATAGAGAGAAATTAAGAAAATGAAGACCTACATTTAGGATAATTATGATTTTTGTCCATAAGTATTACTTGAGTTTTCTGATTATGATTCTTAATTCATATTCTACAGTAATACAGTAAAAATAAATACTGTAATACAAAGTTTTTCAAATTTAAAATCAGCATTAAAGGACCGACTCTCAAACAAACTCCAATATGTGTAATCTGTTTACATTACAAGTAAATGTCAATGCATTTTTTTTCTTAAATAAATCTAAATATCTTTAAAAAAACAGGTATAATTTTCTCTGAAGAAAAATATTTAGGGTTTTAAAGGGTGAAACGTGACGGTTTTGTGCGATTTGCGCATCCCCAAAAACAATGTGTATCAAAAATGCATTTCCTTCCAACATCTTAAACACAAAACGGTACAAAAAAGAAAGTAAAACTTGAATACATTTACTACAAAAAGAAGGAATCTGTTCCCACAGCGGAGCTTGACCTCTCGTTGAATAGCAAAGGCTCATGGGTCGGTGTGTGTGTGTGAGTATGTGTATGTGTGTGTGTGTGTGTGTGTGCTATATAACAGCACAGTGTAATTCTGACATCACTCCATCAACAGCAGGACGGTCCTGGGCCGTTTCTCACGGGTGATTTCCACCAATGGTCCATGAATGTGTGTGTTCGTGAGCACATACTGTGTTTAGAGCCGAGCGAGCGGCTCGGGAAGTGTACTGTGTGTATGCGAGTCTTCCAACACATCTGTTTATAATATATAAATCAAGAATGTGTGTATGTGTGTGGACTCTGGAACAAGAACAGGAAGATAAGGCCACGTCGACGGAGAGACTCCTTGCGTCAGGATCTGTCCGGGGCGAAAACAACAACAGAGCGTCAGAAATGCATTCAAGATGGCGGCTGGTTTTCATTCACTCAGAGTAAAAACAGATCTTAACCGCAATGTTTGTTGTGGAAACTTGAAGAGAGGCTTTTACACGTTTATCTTTCATGTTATTCGCTATATCAGCGTCACTGAAACGAGACAATCGGCTAGCAGTGACATCAGCGGGAATCCACCTGTCACTCAAGTGGCCACGCCCTTAATTATGCAGAGCTTTAAGGTTTAATATAATTTCAACAGATGAGTTATAAAAAAAGTCACCCATCTCACAGTCGTCATGAAGGGCAAAATTAGCGATATAGACCAAAAACACTGTTAACATGTTTATTTCTGCTGTAAAGTTGGGCATTTTAACATGCGGGTCTATGGGACTGAGCCGGCCTCTAGTGGCCAGTGGAGGAACTGCAGTTTGAGTCACTCAGTGTTTGATTCAAGAGGGTGGCGCTTGTGTCATTGTAGTCTCGAGTTTCTTTCGGGAACGAACACGTCTCAATATTCCTCATTATAATAATTAATGCGCAGAATAAAGGGGCGGGGCCTGGTTGAGTTAGTTAGTAGTGTGTTAAACTGGCGGTTATGGAAAGGGGCGGGACATTTCCCAAACACACTCAAAGTGCTCGACCAATCACAACACACTGCTCCAGCCGGCCAATCAGAGCACAGTGTGCTTTCAGGAGGAGGGGCTTCATAGAGACAGGAACTAATCAGAGCGTTACTGAACTAAAATTAAAATTCAATATACTATATGATGTCGCGTAATTTTGATTAATAAATCAAATGTAGGGCTTAATCAAATAGAGATATGGAGAACTGTGTGTGAATATTAAAGCACAGTAAGACTTATTGAGTCAGCGTGTCCTGCAGTATTAATAGTGATCAAAATTATTATTAAGGATACTGTTATTAAGGAATATCACAATTTTAGCCAGATTTCAAACCATAAACCAGTACATTGTTTGCCCAAAATAAAAGGAACTGTTCAATTTTCATTCGATTATATTGTAAAAACGTTATAAAATTGTAAACGCTTACTGCTTTCATTTTATTACCACCATTTTTTTTTATAATAAATTTGTATTAAGTTGTAAACACCCAAAATCTTTAAAACTTAAAAATCTTTAAAAAAAAATGAAAATTATTAAATTGATTTGATATGGTTTACAGTTATTAAGGGGGGGGGGGGGGGGGGGTTTGGGAGTAAAATAAAAAAAAAAAAGAAAAAAGAAAAATGGGGCCCTAAAAATATTCATTTTGCTCTTCATAAATTGATGTTAAATTGAAAAAACTCAATTAATTGGACAGGTTTTTTTAATGACTAAAATGTAATTAAGCTATTAAAGTGAAATCAGCATTTTAATCAACAGTATATTTTTTGTTAACTTTTTATCATATGTCTCGGAGTATCGCAATAATATAATATCGTGAGTTCAGTATCGAATCATGACATGGGGGCGTCGTTACACCCCTATAATAAATGCATCAGCCAAATGCATGAATATAATAAATAACAACAATCTCACACACACACACCTGAATGTTACATGTGTCCGTGTCCGTCTCCACCCAGACCAGACAGCATCTGAGGGTCTCCTGTGACCTTCTCCTCCTCCCTCCTCTTCAGACACGCCGCCTTCGGGTTCAGATTACGCTCTGGAGGACACAGGGATTCGCGTCAGACATACAGTGAGCGTTTACTGTCAGATCACAGCGGCTCAGTCAGACAGAGAAGGAGCTCAAGAGTCACTTCAGAACCAAGAAGAGCAAGAAACAGCACGATTTAGACAAGAGCGACAAGATGCTAGAAAAACACGCGTCCGGTTCAGGATTCATTTTTATTACTGCAATGTGACATTTTTATGCTATTTATTATATATATATTTTTTTATTATTATTAATTTTCATTTTTGTACAATATTTAGATTTCTTTTTAAGTATTTATACATCAGGGAAAGTATTTTTTAAGTATTTATACATCTACTGACATTTACACTTAAGAATACAAAATATTATTTAATAAATAAAAAAATATAAGTAAAAAAAATTCAGGAAAATATAGTTAAATAATTTACAATTTAATTAATTAATATATATATCATCTACATATATATATATATATCATCTACATTATAATAAACATGCATATATAATTTTATAATAGTATAATTAGAATTATATTTTACATATTTATTACATATTTTAATTATTTAAATAATACAATTATAATTTATACAATTACATGCATATAAGAAATATAAGAAAAACAATATAAGAACTTAAGAATACAAAATATTTAATTAATAAATAAATAAATATAAATGTAAAAATATAAGTTAAAAAAAATTCAGGAAAATATAGTTAAATAATTTACAATTTAATATATATATATATATATATATATATATATATAATAATCTACATTATAATAAACATGTATATATAATTTTATAATAGTATAATTAGAATTATATTTTACATATTCATTACATATTTTAATTATTTAAAATAATACAATTATAATTTATATAATGACATGAATATAAGAAATATAAGAAAAACTATATATATATATATATATATATATATATAAAAATGTCACCAAATTTCACAATGCAAACAATTTGTATTGATCATAAAGCGGCCTAATTTTCCACAACAAATACAATTTCTTTAATTATTTTGGTGAATTTTTCATATAATCTATATAGAATTGTCAATGTTTTGTCGTAACGGTCAAAATGCAGCTTCCTTTTTGTTTTTAACATAACAAACAAATATTTTCTTTTTCAGGGGAAATATGACTTGTTTTTGTGAGATTCACTCCAACATCTTTTGTCGTTCCAATCATAATCGATCAGTCCGGTGCTAATCTTTTAAAGAAAGCGGTGTGCAAATGTGGTCATCCTCCTTGTGTACATCACAAGGCAGAAGGGGTTCAACAGTGAGATGTTAAAGCTTAGCGCACACACACAGGTTAGTGTAAGCGAGGAGAGAGCTCTCAGTAGCAGGGGTGTGTCACGTGATTCTTGGCAGGACGTAGTGTTGTCAAAGTACCGACTTCGGCACCAAATCGGTACTGAAATGAAAATTTGACGTTCGAGCGAAATCGTAAACTCTTCTGATTGGCCGTTGTGTTCACGCGCTCATCCATATTACAATTTACAGTGATTTGTTATGTTATGTATTTGAGAAATATACATATGCAAATCACAGTTAGCTAAAAATGTATTAATTTAAACGATGTAATAATTTAATGCAGAAACAATGAGATAATTGAAGTAATGAATACTTGTTTGATGACAAATGATTATGATATTTAGAAAACGTAGCATTGGTGCGTTTTTGTACGTTTTTTTAAACGCTTCGGAATGTTCAGAGAAGATTTAAAAGTAACATTCTAATGTTCGCAGAATTCTAGAATGTTCGCGTAACGTTCACACAACCAAGAAGAAACATTAAAAACTGGACGTTCAGAGATAACGTCGGGAACGCGCTCTTAACATGTTTGTTGGGTCTGGGATTCAAAATCTAATTTTTAAACCTTGAAATAGATAAAGTTTTGCCATTGTGAAACAGCGTCTCTGATCATGTGACTTCAAGATCACCTCCAGTGCTATTGTCATTGTTTATGCAAATTTTATTTTAAAAGGGACAGTGCATTTGCGTCCATCATATAAAATTTACAAACATATCCGATGACCGCGTGAACACAACGGCCAATCAGAGGAGTTTACGATTACGCTCAATGCGTCACATTTCTTAAATTTCAGTTCCGACTTTCCTATGGTTTCGTTAGGATTGGTTATCCATTGGTTTGTTGATCTGGAATCTGAGGGTGAAAAAAAAACGTAAAGTCGTCCATTTATGTTCGCATCGACTCACAAAAATTAACTTTTAAAATAGCTACAGTAGAAAAATTTATAAAATATCGTCAATGTCGTTAATATCCTAATGATTTTTGGCATAAAAGAAAAAATCGATAATTTTGACCCGAATTTGTAATAATAACAAATATAGCCGTGCAACTTGTTTAACTGGTTCAGAGTCACATATCCAATGAGCGCGTGCGGCCAATCAGAGGAGTTTACATTTACATATATTAACTTAGCTGACGCTTTTCTAAAATGACAACAGTTAAACTAACAATAGGACAACAATATGCAAGTGCTACGACCCTTCCCAGTTTAATCTAACGCATGTACTTTTAATTTACTTTATGAATAGCTATAGTAGAGAAAGTGCTCGTATTAATGGATCAAGTGTTGCCGAAAGTGTACGATTTCTGATTAAGTTCACGATTTCGCTCAAAGCGTCACATTTTTAAAACTTCAGTAACGAAATCGGCACGTTTGACAACTGTAGCCGGACGGTTCGGGTCCAGGTATGGTGTCCTACCTCGCACCTGCCTCTCCAGGCCCAGGATCACCTGCACGGCCTGCTGGAGGATGATGAGTTTAGTCTGAGCCTTGTCGCTCTTCAGGTGCGTCTGACACATGCGGCCCAGCTCCCTGAAGGCCTCGTTAATGTCCCGCACGCGCACACGCTCGCGAGCGTTATTGGCCATGCGTCGCTCACGCTCGCGCTGCTCCTTCTCCTCCGCCGTCAGACACTCCTCCGACACGCTGCTGCCGGGGGCAACCAGGCGCTCGTTAGACACCTCGTTAACTCATTTAGACTCTCGTTGAGTCCATTCTACACATACATGAGCTGTGTTGGCTTCATTAAGTTGCAACGACTGAAGAACCTGTTCATTACTGTAGCTTTGCTCTGCATGGTTTCCAAACTCTCTGGATGAAGTTTATATATTTAATAAAAACTTATTTATATTTAATTATATGTAATATGTAGAACAAAATTAACATTTTATAAAGTATTAAATACATATATTTTTATTATATATATATATATATATATATAATTTTATAGTTTTTATATTTACATTTTTTAAATTTAAATGGTTAAATTATTATTTTTATTTATATATTATATCCATATAAGAAATAAGTCTATATATATATATCAAAGAAATAAGTACATATAAATAAGTAGTATATATATATAAAATATTAAAATTAAAAATATTAAATAAATATAAATAAATTAATATTAAATAAATATTAAATAATAAAAAATAATAAAATTCGAATTATTTTAAAACAATTAAAATATATATATATTTAATTGTTTTAAAATAATTCGAATTTGAATATTTTTTATTTTAAATAAATATTTAAAAAATAATTTAATAAAATATATGCATATAAAAATTATACACACATATATATATATATACATTTTACTATAATATAATTCAAATTTTTATTGTTAAATTAGTTTATTATTTAAAATCATTAAATTATATTTAGAATATTAAATTGTGTAGTATATATATATATAAAAATGTGATAAAATGTAAATATTACAAATATCAATTATAATGTTTATATGTAATATTAATATTATAATATATTAATAACATTAATAGTAATTATTAATAATATTATACAGTAATAATATGCAATTAAAAGTTTATAATATGTACATATATATACATTCACATTTATAATTACTTTTCCTAAGGATTCCCTGCAGAACTGTAGTATCATTACGCAAAACCATTCCTGTTAAACATTAGGATTCCAGAAGCAGCTTTCTGCTATATTTCAGACCAACAGGGAGAGCCTGATTAAAGCCGAAGGCAGTTAAACGAGGGATGACGAGAAGATCCAGCGGAGGAGAGGAGAGCGGGTCTGATCCTGAGTATCTCGCGTTCATCGGGAATCGGCACGCAATCTCGAAACAAGACATCGACGGGCGGATCACAGAGGCTGCGTTCACATGCACAACTCTAGCTTCTAGCGGACTGAAATCACTACGATTGAGGATTATGAATGTAGCGTTTACATTTTTCAAGTGGTGCGGATTGAACAGGCATTTAAATGTGCAGCTCCTTCAGACGGGATATTCTTACAAAATAATTGCCTGACTTGTGTATTGATTTACTTATTTTATTATTGAAGTATTGTATGTTATTTGTTAAACCCACTTGAGTCGTGTTGCTGATAATCTTGACCAGGACGCTCTTGCAAAATAAATTGTGCTTTCTTTCCTGGTAAAATAAAGGTTATAATAATAACAACAATAACATGAACGCTGAGATGGGGTTGATGTGTGCGTTCATATGTCACAAGGTTCAAAACAGAATATATTTGCTCACAGAATGACATGCGCTCACTATATATAGAGAAAATACAGATTCCCGTTGTTTGCACATAACTATTCTCCTATATTGGTTATGTATTTGCGTATCATGTATTTGCGTATTATGTATTAATGCGTAATTTCAACATTGCGCTATTTTTTTACGTCATTACGCAATTTCTACACCATTACGCTATTCCAACGCCATTACGCAATTTTTTTACGTCATTACGCACTTTCTATTCTCGAAATTTAATGAGTTTATTCTCAAGATTGTGTTTCAACTTTTTTTCTTGAAATTTAACAATCTACGTCATTACGCTATTTCTACGTCATTACACTATTTCTACGTCATTACACTATTTCTATATTGCGCTATTTTTACGTCATTACGCATTTTCAAGGTCATTACACTATTTCAACATCATTCCCCTATTTCTGTCATTATGCTATTTCTACATCATTACGCTATATCTACGACATTACGTTCCTTCTACGTCATTTCGCTATTTCAAAGTCATTACGCTATTTCTACTTCATTACGCGACTTCAACGTCATTGCACTATTTCTACATTGTTGCACTACTTCTACAACATTATTCTCTGTCTACGTCATTACACTATTTCTACGTCATTACGCTATTTCTACGTCATTACACTATTTCTATATTGCGCTATTTTTACGTCATTACGCATTTTCAAGGTCATTACACTATTTCAACATCATTCCCCTATTTCTGTCATTATGCTATTTCTACATCATTACGCTATTTCTACGACATTACGTTCCTTCTACGTCATTTCGCTATTTCAAAGTCATTACGCTATTTCTACTTCATTACGCGACTTCAACGTCATTGCACTATTTCTACATTGTTGCACTACTTCTACAACATTATTCTCTGTCTACGTCATTACACTATTTCTACGTCATTACGCTATTTCTACGTCATTACACTATTTCTATATTGTGCTATTTTTACGTCATTACGCATTTTCAAGGTCATTACACTATTTCAACATCATTCCCCTATTTCTATGTCATTATGCTATTTCTACATCATTACGCTATATCTACGACATTACGTTCCTTCTACGTCATTTCGCTATTTCTACGTCATTACACTTTCTATATTGCACTATTTCTACGTCATTACGCTATTTCCACATCATTACACTATTTCAACGTTATTGCGCTACTTTTACATCAATGCGTAATTTCAACATTGCGCTATTTTTACGTCATTACGCAATTTCTACACCATTACGCTATTTCAAAGTCATTGCGCTATTTCTACGTCATTACACTTTCTATATTGCACTATTTCCACATCATTACACTATTTCAACGTTATTGCGCTACTTTTACATCAATGCGTAATTTCAACATTGCGCTATTTATACGTCATTACGCAATTTCTACACCATTACGCTATTTCAAAGTCATTACGCTATTTCTACGTCATTACACTTTCTATATTGCACTATTTCTAGGTCATTACGCTATTTCCACATCTTTTCGCTATTTCAATGTCACTGCGCTACTTTTACATCAATGCGTAATTTCAACATTGCGCTATTTTTACGTCATTACGCAATTTCTACACCATTACGCTATTTCAACGCCATTGCGCTATTTCTACGTCATTACGCTATTTCTACATCATTACGCTATTTCTACGTCATTACGCTATTTCTACGTCATTGCGCTATTTCTACGTCATTGCGGTATTTCCACGTCCTTACGCTATTTCAACATCATTACTCTATTTCAATGTCATTGCGCTACTTTTACGTCATTACAGTATTTCTACATTCACTATTTCTACATCATTACAATGTCATGCACACTATTTCTACATCATTTCTACATCATTACGCTATTTCAACATCATTACGCTATTTCAAAGTCATTGCGCTATTTCTACGTCATTGCGCTATTTTCTACGTTGTGCTATTTCCACGTCATTACGCTATTTTCACGTCATTACGCTATTTCCACATCATTACGCTATTTCTACGTCATAGCTCTATTTCTACATCATTACGCTATTTCAACATCATTACGCTATTTCAAAGTCATTGCGCTATTTCTACGTCATTGCGCTATTTTCTACGTTGTGCTATTTCCACGTCATTACGCTATTTCCACATCATTACGCTATTTCTACGTCATTACGCTATTTCAACATTGCGCTATTTCCACGTCATTACGCTATTTCAACAAAATTACGCTATTTCCACGTCATTATGCTATTTCAACAAAATTACGCTATTTCAACGTCATTATGCTATTTCAACAAAATTACGCTATTTCAACGTCATTATGCTATTTCAACAAAATTACGCTATTTCTACGTCATTACGCTATTTCAACATCATTACTCTATTTCAATGTCATTGCGCTACTTTTACGTCATTACAGTATTTCTACATCATTACAATATCATTCACGCTATTTCTACGTCATTTTTACATCATTACGCTATTTCTACGTCATTTTTTTTGGTATCGGTTTTCAATCCGAACAAATGTACACGTTCTCTCAATCGGATTATAAAAGTAATAAACCGACCCCTTTCAATCCGATGTAAATTTAATTCAGATCAACCTCAATCGGATCGATCAGGGTGTTTACACGAAGGCTTTCCTGAGCCGTCAATGCGATTACTAGCGTATTGTTTGTGTGCATGTAAACGTAGCCAGTGTCAGTGGGTTTCAGGAGGCCTGTGGGAACTGCCACGGAGCGAAAGAGCGCAAGTGACAGACGAGAGGACAGCAAGATGAGAGAGATGCACCGTCTGCCCAGAACCGAACAGAAACACACACTGCCACTGAGAGAGCCAGACAGAAGACAAGATGAGGTGAATGCGACTGTCTCATCGTAAACGCATCCCGCTGGTGAGATGCATTTATGCAGCATGAGACTAAAAAAAACCTGCAAAGAAAAAAGGGCTGAAGAACAGATGGAGAGATGGGTAAAAAGAAAAACAACCTGGCAAACAGAGGGTTAAACATGACATGCAAGCATTAATCAGATCGTTACAATCCGAAAGCGACTAGAAGGAAACACAAATGAATCTTCTAATCTGCGAGGTTAATGCCTGCGGAAGAAGCCCGTCACAGCAGATCCGAGGGAAAACGGACATGCAACAGTAAAAAAGAAAAGAAAACAGGAAACTATAAAAAAGTGTGAAGACAGATTTAAAAGGATTGGTGGCATGCATTATGCATTATTAAAGGAATAATCAAAACCCCATCATTTACTCAACCCTCATGTCTCGCGTGTTTCTTTTCTGGAAAACAAAACGAGAGATTTATCAGGTTACTGACGCCTCTTTTCATTTGCATGATGCGCACAGATTATGTAAAACATCAGAAATGACAAAAGCAGCACTATAAGAGTCATAATAATAGTCCAGACAAGAAGTGCACTATATTTCATGTCTTCGCTCTGAGGTCACGTTACTGAAATATTGCTGTCTGAGATATTAAATGAAAAATCTTTATCTGTGCATTGGTTTATTTATACTTGGCACGTCAATACAAGTTTGCACCAGAGTTCACTAAAACTATTAAAACATTTGTTAATTGAAATAAAATAAGACTAGATGAACAACAAACTAAGAAAATGAAATGTTGCATTAGCAACTAACTGAAATAAGTTGAAGCACTGGATATAATCTGGATATAGATATAAATAACTAAAACTGAACTAAAATTAAAAAAAATTAGAAATATAAATTAAACCTTCTATAAAAAAAACTAATAAAATGATTAAAGCACATAAAATTACTAAAACTATTTTTTTAAATAATTTTTTTTAGAAATAAAACTTATATTAACTAATATAATATTTATAATAAATTCATATTTATTATATATATATATATATATAAAATAATATATACATACATATATATGTACATATATATATAAATTATTTTATTATAAATTAAATTTAAAAATTCATTTAAAATATTAAGTTTAAAACGATATAAAAACGTAATATATATGCGTATAATAAATAAAAATGTATATATATATATAAACAATATATTACAAAACAAGAATTTTATAATTGTATTATTTAATGTCAATAAATTATAAATTATATTTAGAATATAACATTTTATAAGCATATTAAAACCCGTGACAGTACATAAATACTAATAATATGGTCAAGTTTGATATCACAAATTTTTAATTTTTTTGTAAGTGTCGTAGCAAATGTGAATGCACACGACTGATGCACCAGAACGACTGAGGATGAACACAGACTTAAATTCAGGTCTGTTTCTCATAAAAATACTATTATATGACTTCAGAAGACTAGAAATATAGTGTACAAGATATATGGGTTAATTTCACTATGCTTTGTTGGGCTTACCAGTCCTTTGCTTAGGTTGAGTAAAAGACGAAATGTACATTTTGGGTGTAACTAACTACTGCGACTAGCTTCAATCTTAGTTTGTTAGTTGCATGAATCTTGCAAGCAGACAGAAATGGGAAGGGATGAAATGACAGATGACAGAATCACATGCAGAAAGTGCAGACAGTCCCACAATCACCCTAAACGGACGCCTGTGTGGGCCGCGGAAGGCATGACGACCAAGATTAATCTGATGCATCATAATTATTAAAAGAAAATGTTCTGGGGTTTAATGCAACTTGGTTGGCTGTTTCTAGGGCGTATTCTTCAGGCAAGACACCACAGGTGAAAAAAAAAAATTATCAAAAAAAAAAAAAATGTTATACTTTGATTACGTTAATTGTTGCAAACTTTTATTTACAGGAAAAGATTTTACTTAAAAGTTTTTTACTTTTACAAAGTTTAATGTGCGCAAGGAGATTTCTGACTCAAACTCGCCGCCCATAAAGATATGGATTGTAATTGAAATCTACAGATGCAATAAAATAATGTATTTTGTTATGAACAGTTATACGTAACGAAAAAGCCAAACATACGGAAGAGGACTAGGGCCAAGAAATAATAAAAAATAAAACCATTTTGAGATTAAAGTCATTAAAATGCGAAATTCAACTTTTTTCTCTCGAAATTTAACAAGTTTAACACAATCCTGAGAATAAACTCATTAAATTGAGAATAGTCATTGTGTTGAGGAAAAAACGTGTTAAATTTCGAGAAAAAAAGTCTAAATTATCTTGAGAAAAAACTTGTTAAATTTAGAGAAAAAAGCAGAAATTATCGCGAGAATAAACTCATTAAATTTCGAGAATAAACAACGATTTTATTCTCAAAATCTAATGAGTTTATTCTAATGGTTGTATTTTGAGATTTTTTTCCTCTAAATTTAACAATTTTTTTATCGCAACACAACATTATTCTCGAAATTATATTCTTGAGTTTTTTCTCAAGATTGTATTTCGACTTTTTTTCTCAAAATTTAACGAGATTTCTTGAAACACGACGACTTTATTCTCAAAATGTAATGAGTTTATTCAAGATTATTTTGACTTTCGTTCTTGAAATTTAACGAGTTTTTCCTCGAAACACAATGACTTTATTCTCGAAATTTAATGAGTTTATTCTCAAGATTGTGTTTCAACTTTTTTTCTTGAAATTTAACAAGTTTATTCTCGAAACACAACGACTATTCTCAATTTAATGAGTTTATTCTCAAGATTGTATTCCGATTTTTTTCCCTCTAAATTTAACGAGTTTTTTCTCGAAACATGACTTCATTCTCAATATTTAATGAGTTTATTCTCGAAACACAACGACTATTCTCAATTTAATGAGTTTTTCTCAAGATTGTATTCCGATTTTTTCTCTCTCTAAATTGAACGAGTTTTTTCTCGAAACACGACTTTACTCTCAAAATTTAATGAGTTCGTTCTCAAGATTGTGTTTCAACTTTTTTCATGAGTTTTTTTAATTAGTTTATTTTCGAAACACAACGACTATTCTCAATTTAATGAGTTTATTCTCAAGATTGTATTCCAACTTTTTTCCTCTAAATTTAACGAGTTTTTTCTCGAAACACGACTTTACTCTCAAAATTTAATGAGTTCGTTCTCAAGATTGTTTCAACTTTTTTTCTTGAAATGTAACAAGTTTATTCTCGAAACACTACGACTATTCTCAATTTAATGAGTTTATTCTCAAGATTGTATTTCGATTTTTTTTCCTCTAAATTTAACGAGTTTTTTCTCGAAACATGACTTCATTCTCAATATTTAATGAGTTTATTCTCGAAACACAACGACTATTCTCAATTTAATGAGTTTATTCTCAAGATTGTATTCCGACTTTTTTTCCTCTAAATTTAACGAGTTTTTTATCGAAACGCGACTTTACTCTCGAACTTTAATGAGTTTATTTTCAAAACACAACAAACTTTATTCTCAATTTAATGAGTTTATTCTCAAGATTGTATTCCGATTTTTTCTCTCTCTAAATTGAACGAGTTTTTTCTCGAAACACGACTTTACTCTCAAAATTTAATGAGTTCGTTCTCAAGATTGTGTTTCAACTTTTTTCATGAGTTTTTTTAATTAGTTTATTTTCGAAACACAACGACTATTCTCAATTTAATGAGTTTATTCTCAAGATTGTATTCCAACTTTTTTCCTCTAAATTTAACGAGTTTTTTCTCGAAACACGACTTTACTCTCAAAATTTAATGAGTTCGTTCTCAAGATTGTGTTTCAACTTTTTTTCTTGAAATGTAACAAGTTTATTCTCGAAACACAACGACTATTCTCAATTTAATGAGTTTATTCTCAAGATTGTATTCCGATTTTTTCTCTCTCTAAATTGAACGAGTTTTTTCTCGAAACACGACTTTACTCTCAAAATTTAATGAGTTCGTTCTCAAGATTGTGTTTCAACTTTTTTTCTTGAAATGTAACAAGTTTATTCTCGAAACACAACGACTATTCTCAATTTAATGAGTTTATTCTCAAGATTGTATTCCGATTTTTTTCCCTCTAAATTTAACGAGTTTTTTCTCGAAACATGACTTCATTCTCAATATTTAATGAGTTTATTCTCGAAACACAACGACTATTCTCAATTTAATGAGTTTTTCTCAAGATTGTATTCCGACTTTTTTTCCTCTAAATTTAACGAGTTTTTTATCGAAACGCGACTTTACTCTCGAACTTTAATGAGTTTATTTTCAAAACACAACAAACTTTATTCTCAATTTAATGAGTTTATTCTCAAGATTGTATTCCGATTTTTTCTCTCTCTAAATTTAACGAGTTTTTTTTTTCAAAACACGACTTTACTCTCAAAATTTAATGAGTTCGTTCTCAAGATTGTGTTTCAACTTTTTTCATGAGTTTTTTTAATTAGTTTATTTTCGAAACACAACGACTATTCTCAATTTAATGAGTTTATTCTCAAGATTGTATTTCCACTTTTTTTCCTCTAAATTTAGTTTGTCAAAACACGACTTTATTCTCAATATATAACGATTTTATTCTCGAAACAAAATGATTTTATTCTCAATTTAATAAGTTTACTCTCAAGAATTTTTTACTATTGCTTGGCCCTAATCCTCTTCCGCACAAACATCCCAAAAAACGCTTTTATCCTGTAGTGTCTTGCCTTTTTGCACCCAAAACATCATGCACTTAAATCCCTCATGCAACCAATCCGTCGTCGCCGTCCCCTCGCGACCCAATCAGGCGTTCGGACCACAGACAAGATCTCCGCGGTTCTGCTGGTTCTCACTGATCGGAGGTCAGAGGTCAGTCGCACACACTGACCTCGCACTTGCTGCTCCAGGTTGAGAATAACGTTTACGGCCTGGTGCAGGATGAGCAGTTTGGTCTGAGGTTTCTCATTGCTCAGGTGCAGCTGGCACATGCGGCCCAGCTCTTTGAAGGCCTCGTTGATGTCGCGCACGCGCAAACGCTCACGGGCGTTATTGGCCACGCGCCGCTCTTTCTCCCGCTCCGCCTTCACCTCCACCGGCAAGTCCTCGTCATCCTCGTCTTCTTGACTTCATGGGTCAGAGGAACAAAGGGGTGAGAAGGGGTCACAGGTAAAAAATTCAAGGCAGCGAGTCGTGTTTTCTCAGCGTGACCTCGCGTCAGTGTTTTAAAAATGGACCAATCAGAAGCTGCTGGAAGTGGGATTTGCAAGTAAAAGTAAAACTACCAAATAATTATGACTTTTCTATGTTTTTGAAAGGCTATTTTGCTCACCAGGGCTGCTTTTATTGGATAAAAAAATACAGTAAAATTTTGAAATAATATTAGAATAAAAAAAAACTGTTTTCTATGTGAATATATAATAAAGTGTAATTTTTTCCTGTGTATTTTCAGCATCATTACTCCAGTCTTCAGAGTCACATGATCCTTCAGAAATCACTCTAATATGAGGATCTGATGATCATTAAACATTTATGATCATTATCAATGTTGAAAACTGCTTAATTATTTTTGTGGAAATCGTGATAAGCTACTATACAAAAGTTTGGGGTACTAAAGATTAAAAAAAGAAAGAAAATAAATTAATGCTTTTATTCAGCAAGGGCGCATTAAATTAATTTCTATTTCATATCACAGTATACCACAAAAATATGAAGCAGTTTTTAACATTGATAACAATCATAAATGTTTCTTGATCATCAGATCATCATATTAGAGTGATTTCTGAAGGATCATGTGACTTTAATTTTAGCATAGACACCATTAAATAGATCAAAAGCGACATTTTATTATGTTACTAAAGATTGAATTTCAAATAAATGCTGTTTTTTTGTTTGTTTATCAAATAATCCTGAAAAAAAAAAAACAATTCCACAAAAATGTGAAACCGTTTTCAATTGATGAGCATCAGATCCTCATATTAGAGTGATTTCTGGAGGATCATGTGACACTGAAGACTGGAGTAATGATGCTGAAAATCACTGGAATAAATTTCACTTTACTTTATATTCACATAGAAAACAGAGGATTAACATTGCAATAATATTTCACTATTTTACAGCATGTTTGATCAAATAAACGCAGCCTAGGTGAGCATAAGAGACTTTCAAAAAAACATTAAATCATGATTATTCCAAATATTTGACGGGTATGGTGTATTTATATTCCTGTGTGTTTAAATTGAGGTGGTACCTCGATCTCGTACAGCTTTTCCCGTCTTTCTTCTCGTCGTCTGATCGATCTCCAATAGACAGGTTCTCATCATCTTCCCGATCTTCCCGCTTTATATCCGAGTTGGAGGAGTGAGAGGAGCGAGGCAGAGAAAGACCTGACAGACACACACACACACACGAGGGATTAGCACCCGAACATCACACTGTGTGACAGCAGCACTGTGAAAACATCCTGGATAGGTGATGAGCTTAATGTTTTGGATGGTAAATTTAGACTGACTGTGATTAGAGTCTAAATAAGACACAAATTAGAGTTACTGTGTTGCTTTCAAAACATTAATTGCTCTGTTTGAGCTGCCCGAGTTTAGGACGAGACCTTAACCCTAAACATTTACATTAGTGATGCACCAAAATATTTTTTTTAACTCAAAACAAAATTAACTCATCATATCTCATAACTCATAATTTATGTATATAAATCAATCCAATGTAAGAAACTGAGCATTTTGATTCAAAGAGTAGCACTGACTGGTAAAGACGTCGGACTGAGAAGTGGGCGGAGCCTGATGGTGTCCTTGCACTGGTAAACCCGCAGCGTCGTCACTGAGACTTTGCATCTAGAGAAAAGAGCAGGAGATGGGTTAGTGAGCATCTGCCATATCACTATATCAGGACATGAACTTCAGCATTTCAATATTTCATTTAAAAAAAGTATCAGATGCACAATGCACAAAGGTTTTACTGCAACCTGTCAAAATAAAAGTCTGGGTTAACTTGGTTTAAGAAATATATAACTATTGTACAACAGAATGTACTTCTCGGATAATTATAACAATAATAGTTTATTAAAACATTAAGGAATATCAGACAAATTTAAGGAATACAGAAAGAAATTTGTTGGGAGTTAACGGATTACATGGGGCCCTAATAATGTTATTTCTGTTCAACATTTAAATTATAGAAGTTTCATGATTTCAAATAATTACAGTATTAATTTTTTTTTACAGTATTAACAATTTCAATTAATTTTCATTTGTAAAATTATTTTATTTTAACCATTAAAATGGAATCTTAAAGAAATTTAGGGGGAAAATAAAACAGAATTTGGGGGAAGATAAAATGGCACGCGGCTTGTTGGTTTGAAACAGAGCCAGGGTAATAGGTGAACTCTCACCAGGCCCGGCAGACGGCTGACGAGCCCGAAGGCCTGACTGAGCGAGCCCAGGGCCGCGGCACCAGCTGGAAGTCCAGAGACGGCTGCGCTCAGTAAACTGTGCATGTCTGAGCCGACAGCATGGTTCCTCAACACATGAAGAGCTTCACCCAGACGGTCATCCATCTTACTCTGCTAAGAAGAGAAATTACTCAAACCATCACTGAGGTAAAGTTTATCAAACGCACAAGACAGTATGCAACTGTGATTGTCAATGAAAATGTTATTTATATACAGGCATACAAAGATATACACATGCATGCAAACAAAGGTATACACATGCATGCATACACAGAAACACACATGCATGTATACACACACACACACACACACATGTATGCACCGATACACACATGCATGCATACACAGAAACACACATGCATGCATACACAGATACACACATGCATGTATACACACACACACGTATGCACCGATACACACATGCATGCATACACAGAAACACACATGCATGTATACACACACACACACACACACACGTATGCACCGATACACACATGCATGCATACACAGAAACACACATGCATACATACACAGAAACACACATGCATGTATACACACACACACACATGTATGCACCGATACACACATGCATCCATACACAGAAACACATATGCATGCATACACAGAAACACACATGCATGTACACACACACACATACATGTATGCACCGATACACACATGCATGCATACACAGAAACACACATGCATGTATACACACACACACATACATGTATGCACCGATACACACATGCATGCATACACAGAAACACACATGCATGTATACACACACACACATACATGTATGCACCGATACACACATGCATGCATACACAGAAACACACATGCATGTATACACACACACACACACACACATACGTATGCACCGATACACACATGCATGCATACACAGAAACACACATGCATGTATACACACACACACACACACATGCATGCACCGATACACACATGCATGCATACACACACACACATGCTTACAAAGACATACACATGCATGCATACACATACACGCATGCATGCAAACAAAGATATACACATACATGCATGCATACACAGATACACACATGCATGCAAACAAAGATATACACATGCATGCATACACAGAAACACACATGCATGCATACACACATGCATGGATACACTCATACATACATGAATGCATACACAAATGCTTACAAAGACATACACATGCATGCATAAACATACACACATGCATACACAGATACACACATGCATGCGTCCACCGACACACATGCATACACTGACACACACATGCATGCATACACCGAAACACACACGCATGCATATATCCTGTGCAACACAGCAAAATCCCTAGTTTAAAATGAAGTTGTGTGCTCACAAGGACTAAAAAGTCATATTTAACTGCTTTGATAAATGGTGACAGTTGAACATACCGGTGCCTGCAGTCCCGTCTCAAATCCAGGCGATGGAGCAGGCTGAGAAGAACCTTTGGGCCACTGAGATGCAGAGGCTAAACACACAAACACAGAAGTCAATAAGGCCCAGTGCAGCCTGGCTGATACGCCGTCGATATGCAGCAGATGGCACCACAGAGCCGTTCACAGTCACACAGGGAAAAAAAGCTTCAGGAAACCCACCAGCAACATTTGAAGGAGAGCCCACGGGGGTGGAAGGGGTCGAGGAGAAGCTGTTGCCGTTATTGTCAGAGGGATATATCTAAAAACGACAAGAGACAATATTAATTAAAGGGTTGAGCTGTAAGAGATTTGTGTTTATCAAAGTGTTATTTTTAATACATCACCCAAATATCAACAACAATGGAATTCCAAAAACATCTTTAAACCACTAGTTTATAGGCGTCTAACGATGCCCTCATGTCACGATTCGATATTCTTTAATGTAGTAATGACACTAAAACTCTGACTAAAACTTTTCATTTTGGATGAGTTCTTCACAAAACAAATTCACTATCAACGATACGTAGTGTTGCATTTTTAGCATTGCGATATATCGTGACATCCCCTTCTATTTTGCCTTCATTTACAATTAAATATGATGTTAAACTCACCGAAGCAAGAGCTTTTCCGATCTCTGCGCCCGAGCTCCCTGCATTCCCACCTCTGTTTACTGAATTGACAGAGATGGATAGATAGATGGATAGAGATAGATAGATAGATGAATTTAATGCCATGTCTGCATCTAAGGCTATTTTCATGGCAAAAAAATATATTACACAAACACAAATGTCATATACGCACAATAAAACCAAGCAAACAAACACGAGTCGTCATAGTTTACAATATTATCAGACTGTAGCTCGTGAAGCTCGAGTCTTACCCATGATGCTGTCGCTCCCGCTGATGGGCGGCGTGTGGTTGGGAACGCCGTACCCCGCAGAAGTGGAGTGAAAGCTGGAGGGAATATTGACCTCGCTCCCGTGGAGAGGGTAGTTCTGCGGCGACAGGGGCAAAGGCTGCCGCTTCTGCACACACACAACATTATTATTCATTAGCATGTAGCAAATGTGTCACGTTATCTAAGGCTGCGTTTACACTGGCACAAAAAAAAAATCGGAGCTTTTAAGCCTTGTTTCCGCCGCTGGATCTTTCCCCGGGAACTATGAGCTTTGGGCTGGTGCTCGGTGTTTAAACCAGGGTCTAAGTTAAGTTCTGGGTCAATACTTCCCCCTCATGATGTAGAGCTTTCTCAAAAGTTCAGGAGCTTTCAGGGGCGGGACTTGTGCACTGAACATGCTGATTGGTTGAGTTCATGCCGCATTCTGATAGGTTGACTCAACACAGCATTTTTACAAACACCATCTGTTGCGGTGTGTGCAGTAACAGTTGTTTGCTACTCGAATCCACAATCGAGTTTTAAAACTACGACGATGGACCGAAAACGAGGTTGAGGCTTTATTATATTCAGAGAATGAAATCCAGTCGTGAGCAGTCCTACGCCACCGGATTCATTTGCCTGATTTCCACAGACAGCAACAGGTCAGCAAAATATGGTTGTGTGGTTTTAAACTTGCCTGTTAAATAAAGACTGACTGACTAACTAACTAGGTTAAATAAAGCTTAACTAACTAACTTGCCTGGTTAAATTAAAGCTGCTCTTTTTATTAAAAGGGGACTGTCCACGTCTGTGTAAACTACTAACATAAACTAAATAAAGGTAAACTAACTAACTACCCAACTAACCTGGTTAAATAACAGTTAACCAACCAACTAACTAACTAACCTGGTTAAATAACAGTTAACCAACTAACTAACTAACCAACCTGGTTAAATAAAAGTTAACCAACCAACCACCTAACTAACTAGGTTAAATAAAAGTAAAATAACAAACAAATTTGCCTGTTTAAATAAAAGTTAACTAACTAACCTGGTTAAATAACAGTTAACCAACTAACTAACTAACCAACCTGGTTAAATAAAAGTTAACCAACCAACCACCTAACTAACTAGGTTAAATAAAAGTAAAATAACAAACAAATTTGCCTGTTTAAATAAAAGTTAACTAACTAACCTGGTTAAATAAAAGTTAAATAACTAACTAATTTGCCTGGTTGAATAAAAGTTAACTAACTAACTAGGTTAAAGGTCTGCCAGGTTAAATAAAGGTTAACTAACTAACTAACCTGGTTAAATAAAAGTTAAATAACTAACTAATTTGCCTGGTTGAATAAAAGTTAACTAACTAACTAGGTTAAATAAAGGTCTGCCTGGTTAAATAAAGATGAACTAACCTGGTTAAATAACCAACTAATTTGCCTGGTTGAATAAAAGTTAACTAACTAACTAGGTTAAATAAAGGTCTGTCTGGTTAAATAAAGGTTAACTAACTAACTTGGTTAAATAAAAGTTAAATAACTAACTAACTAATTTGCCTGGTTGAATAAAAGTTAACTAACTAGGTTAAATAAAGGTCTGCCTGGTTAAATAAAGGTTAACTAACTAACTAACTGATTAATACGAAATTATTCATGAGCATGTGGCAAATGTGTCATTGTATCTATTTATCATCCAGATCTGACGCTGCCAAAAGCCATCCAGACATTAGAAACATTCGATTGCTTTTCCACATGCTGTAATTAACTGGGGTTTTTTCTGTGGTCTCTGACTCATCAGAAAAAAAAACATGGAAATCGGTCCTGATGGCATAATCTCTAGGTTTCAGAAACTATATCACAGATGGAGAAACTTGCATTGGATGTATATAGAGTATATTGATGCATTTAATAAATTAACCTCACATTATGGTTCCAGAATGCTCCTATTTAACGCAATCTTTTATATAAACAACTTTTTGTTTACATTTTTTTAACGCCAATCATGTGACTGGAAATCAGCCAGTTCCAGTCTTCATCTCTAGTCATTATTCAGTGGAAACACATTAGAAATAGTCCGTTGTGAGAGTGAATGCGGTTCTTCGTGGCTCACCTGTGGGTTTATGGAGGAGAACGGGGCCGGCTGACCGATGTGCGGCGAGTTGCTCATGACCGGAGGATAGCCGGACTGACCCCAATGATCCGGGAGTCCGTCTGATAAAGAAACACCCTTTAATCAATGCGAGTACTCACGTGTAATCCAAACGAAACAGTAAACTGTAAAATGATGCCCTTGTATTATAATCACATACATGGATGTGAAGTACTAAGAGTCTACATTATATTAGATATAGATATATACAACTAGAATAGATAAGAAATATTAGAAGTTTTTACTAGTCACTGCCTTTTTATATTTAACATCTACCTTAATATTTATGCATTTAAATAGTCTGACGTGAATTGAAACACAATTTGAGGCAAATATGAACAATTGCAAAAGCCAAGATTTTAAACATTTTAAAATCTAATCATTTAAATACATTTATTCAATTAAATATGAATTATTAATTGGATGTATTGATTTCAATAAATATGATATGTTTATTTAAAAGTGCATGTGGCAATCAAGCAATAAATAGTAAAAAAAAAGGGCAACAAGAAAAAAATTCAACTATCAATTGGATGATCTGGGTTTTGTTGGGAAAATTACCAAAAATAATAAACAAATAAGGAAAAAATAATAATACTAAGATCAAATGTTACTAATGGCAAAAATAAATAACTAACCCACAAACAAATCACTTTTTTGACCACTTTACGGTCCAATTCTCACTATTAGCTACGACTTTTGCCTCAATAAACTCCTAATTACTGCTTATTAATAGTTAGTAAGATATTTGTTAAGTTTAGGCATTGGGTCGGATTAGAGATCTAGAATATGTTCATGCAGAATAAGACAAGTACTAATGAACAAACAATATCCTAGTAAAGTGCATGCTACAACTAGTTAGCATTGAGAATTGGAGCCTAAACTAAAGTGCGTCTCGATCTGCTGTGTGTTTACGTACCTTGCATGTTAAAAAAGCCTGGATAAAGGTTTCCTGCTTTAGTTCCGGGGTATCCGGTGCCGTCCTGGGCGTAGTCGTCACCGGTGGAGCCTGGATAGGCCTGCCAAGCAGAAGAAGAAAAGCTGAGATTTAGGTCATGGGAATGGGATGTAGAATCGTCCAGAAGATGTGGTTCTGCTTTAGGCCACAGTGTGTGTGTGTGCGCGCGCATGTGCAATAAATTAGGGAACATTCATCGGAGATCAGAGAACGAACCATGACTCGAGTGAAAGTACAAAATAACAAACCGACTACAACGTCAATGGACAAGAGTTAGCTTACATATGACACTACCATATATATATATATATAGAGAGAGAGAGAGAGAGAGAGATGGATAGATATTGTTCAATACAAATGTTTTAATTAAATAAATAAATAAACGCACAACAGACTAGTGTCTATGAAGTTTATTTAATTTCGTATGATTAAAAGCTTAATGTTTTACCTACATTTAATTGACAGAGAAATTTAAATGCACAAGACAGAAGCTTTTTTCACAGAGGGAATCTTAAATCATTGATTATTAAAATGTTATTAAACCATTAAAATGGCATCAAGAAAAATTCAAACAAAAAACAGAATTTGGTAAAAAAAAAAAAAAAAAAGGAATTTGAGAAAGAAAAAAAGAATTTGGTAAAAAAAAAATGGAATTGAGAGAAAACAAAAAACAGAATTTGGTCAATTTGATAGAAAACAGAATTTGGTTAAAAAAAAGAAGAAAAAAAAAGGAATTTGAGAGAAAATAAAATTATTTTATAGAGTCCTAAACATGTAATTTATGTAAAAAATGTAATAAATTGTTGTTAAATTGTATACGTTTCTAGATTTCAATTAATAAGAAAAGCTTTTTGATTACTAAAATGTACTTGAACCATTAAAACGGGAGTCCCCCCAAAAAAAATAAAAACGAGTAAAAAAAAAACGTAATCCAGAAAAATCCTAACGAAAAAACTGAAATATGGAAAAAACCCAAAACTGATTTCATTCATAGGGCCCTAGATGAGCCACAATGAGAGATTAAATAGTATGTTGTTTCGCTCCATGTTCAACGCTTTAAATAATAATAATAATAATATTCAAGTGTCTGATGTGAAAAGCTTGTTTTGATTAAACGGATATAACTAGTCGTCATTAACAAAGACATCGTGTACATAGTTTTTCACCGATACAACACACACGACAAAGCACGCCTGTCTAGACATGAAAGGGTGTTAATATCATGAACATGTGACCAGATTATGAGCCAATTAAACACAACAAAGGGGTCAAACACAAGCAATGCTTCAGTGACGGTAAAAATCCATAGAAAATAAATAAACGGCACAAAATAGAAGAAGAGATGCAGAAGATGACGCATGCACACAAGAAAGAGGGAACGAAAGAAAGAAAGAAAGAGATGCATTCCCAATTACAGAGCCATCTGCCCATTCCTGGAGGCCGGCCAACACCGCAGACAGCTGGAGACGCACGGAGAGAACCAGGAGGAAAAATGAAAGGAAAGAGAAATAGATGAGGACAGGGAGAATAAAAATAGAGGGACTATTTGAGGGCCGAGAGACAATAAGACCAGTGTTAAGAGCAGCGCAATAACTGACGAGGTCACATGGAAATACACCCTGCTCTCGTTTTATATACACACTTAAAAATGTAGTTATGTTAGTAATGCGTTAGTACTTTAGTGCATCGAGTACTGACCGTTTCAAAGCAGCTTTACAGAAAATGCATGTTTCAAATGTTAAATTATCATGGAAAACAATACTTAAAAAAAATCATAAAATACTGACAAATTGAGTACAAAAATGTTGGTTGTTCTGACCTTGCACTTATTAGTGATTATAATGCAGAACTGTTTTTATGTTTAATCTATAATAACACTGTGCTCTAAATTAATATGCGAGTGACATCACTAGGAGTTCAGTACAATAAACATTCAAATTTTAGTTTTTCTAAGAAAGTGTTTAATGTTTTATTCCTTATATCTTTTAGATAACTGGTATAATCTCAGACAGGTTTAAGTCCCCCCTGTGATGACAATATTGTGTTTAAATGTTGTTTATGTGGTGTTTTTAACAAGTTCATAAGTCGACAGCATTGCTGAGTATTTTCTCCTTAAAACTAAAGACAGTCTCAAAAACACGCTTTAAAATCGCTGGTGTTTCTGACGTCACAAACGACCTTGTAACCAATCAGATCGACGTGTGATTGTCATTTGCATATTCATAGAACCCCGCATACTAAATGAGGGAAGGGTGTCGGGTTACATTCAAGCTATTTTAAGACATTTCTGACTTTTTTTCCTCCAGAATTGTGCGATATAAAATCCCAATTGCGTGTTTTAAATTACTAATTGCGACATAAACATGTAATTCTGAGGGAAAAAAAGTTAACGACAAACACATACTTAACTTAACTTTAAAAATGTGACTTTTTTCCAGAATTGCATGTGTATATGTCGCAATTAGTAATTTTGATTTATTATTTATAATTTAAAACAAGCTTGCTTAGGAATCGCACTGATACGCCTCTTACTTTAATATGGAACAAACATACAATAATAAAATTCGGCTATTTGAGATCAAATGACCGATTAACGGGATAGTTTACTCAAAATGAAAATTAAGTCATCTTTCTAAACGACTATGACTTTAAAACAAGACATTCTACAGGCTCGACCCACCCAAACTATTACCCACTGAAAATGCAAATGTTGAGACGGCTCCTGATGATTTTATTAAAATAAACAGAGCAGAAAGAAAATCATACGATCATATGAGGGTGTGTGAACGACGACAAGTTTGATTTGATTTGAATGAAGACTGAAATTCAGTGCTTTACATGTGCTGTTTTTTTAAGTAAATATTGTGTCAAATATTCATTTAATATCAGCTATTGCACGTACATCTTATATAATTACTGTATTTCCCATAAAATAAGTAGTACCTGACTAGAGACCATTTTTCAAGATGTAAACAACACTGGTCCAAAAGCACTTCCTGTTTCAGTTTTTTAACACTACATAAAAGCTGGGATAAAATACAACCAACAGAACATTTAAAACTGAATCAAAAAGTTAAACAAACAAACTTTACATGTGAAATAAAGAAAACAGTTACAAACTGAAACAGGAAGCGTTTCTGGACCAATGTTGCAAAATGGTCTACAAGTCACACTGGGTCAAAATATGGCATTGTTGATAGAAAAAACAGCAAAAAATGAGATGAAAAGATGTTAAAAAGATGTTTAAAAAATGAGGAAATACAATATAAAATTGTTTTGCATAAGTAGATTTGAAAAAAAAAATATGCATTGTGAAAAGCGTTATACAAATAAATGTAACTTGAATGAAAGTCGCAGCACGTTTCAGGCAATAACTAGGAGAGAAACAATATATTATATTGTTCAATAAAAATGCAAAAATACGTATCGTGGATATTTCTGGGGTTTTTTTTCAACATTATATAATGTTGAATATAATGTATAATAATGCAGTGTGTGTCCTGATAATGCCGAATATCTTATGTCACCAGTAAAAAGTGACCAACATTATATTAAATATATCTAGTCAGTGATAGTGAAAGGATATTGGTCTAAAATAATTCAGTATTTCAGCTTCAGAATCATGAATATCGTTATTCTGGCGTCTCTATTGTCCAAAACTATTCATTTACACACACGATGCAACATCACATTTATGGACAGTTTTTGTTCGTTTGTATCGTGAGTTCAGTATCGAATCGTGACATGAGGGCATCGTTACACCCCTGAAAATAAACATGACTAGGACTTAGGAAAATACGGTGAATGCACTTTTTGCTCTGCACTGGAAACAAGGAGAAGCGAAGAGTTTTAAAAGGGAAACAGAACATGCACCGCCGCTCACGTCAGCTCGGGTCCATGGAGGAGATTCGCAGAGGCAGTGTGTGTGTAGACTGCATGCACACACACAAGCATGAATGCACGAGTGCATGCGCAACCATAAGAGAACATCTGCACACTCCCGTGGAGAAACTATAGGCAGCTCACGGCATGCATGTAGTGTGTGAGATGAGCACTACAGAAAGTGTGTGTATTGGGTCAGACTGATGGCATGTGGCGTGATAATCTGGGCTCAGACACTAATGAGGCCACGTCGACACTCACCGAAGAAATGGACGTCGGCAACCCATGAGGAACCTTCCGGATCTTCTTGGGCAGAGGATCTGAAACGAAAGCATTGTTAGCGATCGCCAAAGACTGATGAAGGGGATCATGATTGATCATGACACGTTCATGGACGAATATGTACGCCACTTGAATATGTAAGGCTGCATGATCACAAAATGATAGAATAATATTGCAATTTTATTAAATAAAGGAGTTGCATGCATGTAAATGTGTAAATGCAGCGCCGCGCTTCATTCTGAAACCAGCAGCGCATACATACGTAATCAGTGTTGGGTAAGTTACTCTAAAAAAGTAATTAATTACTAGTTACTAATTACCTATTCAACAGTGTAATTAGATTACTGTACTAATTACTCTCTCTAAAACGTATTTAATTACTTTCAAAAATCTGAAAATCTCAAAAATCTACAAAACTTACTTTCAAACTTTCAAAATGCCATATCAATATCAACAATAATAATCAATAATACAAGGATAGACATGAATCTGTTTTAATTCTTTCAAATAAATACTATAAAATTGCATGAATTATCCTTAAACAGACCAAGGTGGAGAAGGTTACATTATAAAAACACACTTTTTAGCATCAGACAATACATTTTGATGTTAAACCCACTATTGTTTTATGTCTGATCTCATGACATTTCACACTTTTTTCATTCATATTTTACAATAATTCATACGAATTTGTATGAGTGCGGTCGTAATATTTAGACACCTCGAATCGCTGTGAGATCGGATTGATCTATACACAGTATTTACCTCAATTACAACTAATTAAATTACAGATAAATGAAGAGTAATGAAACTTTACATTTTCAAGGCAAAAGTAATTAAATTACAGTCACTAATTACTTAGTAATTAGTTACACCCAACACTGGAGGTGAAACTCGAAACAAAATAGATTAGAATATGGTGCAAAAGTTCATTTATTTCAGTAATTCGAGTTAAAAGGTGAAACTAATATATTATATAGACTCATTACATGCAAAATGAGATATTTCAAGCCTTTATTTGTTATAATTGTGATGATTATGGCTAGGTGTGGGTGGTATGACCAAAATTTATATATGTAGTTATTCTCGAAAAATCGTCAAAAATGTCTTTTTATAATAAAAATCATTATTTTAGTCATATTGAATTGATGAAAACTTAAGTGGAAAGCGTTTTTTAATTTTATTACTCCGTTCACTTTATGGTTACTAGAAAATGCTTGACTTAGTTTTTATAATGATAGAGTGAACAAAAATTTTCCCCAAAAAGCTTTGAAAGGATAAACTATAATCCGTTTTATGGTTCAGTGGTCATTATGCAAATATTGTTAACAACCAACCAATCACAAGCCAGCATATCTGTCAAACCCAAAGCCATGAGGGTGAAATGCACCAGATCTAAGGCTGGGCGAAAAATTATTATTATACTTTTTTTAATGATTTAATTTTGTGTGTCTCATCTCACCGATGTTGGAGTCGGCCGGCCTCCGGCGGTGCGGACTGTAGAACTGAGAGGAGACCTTCATGCCCGGCGAGGAGAGCCCGTCGGCCCCGGGGATGTTGATGTCCCCTGGCAAGAGCTGCGGCTGAACATAAAGAAGAGCTCTATGAGGACGACACACACAACTGGTCGCCAACTTAATAACAGCAGATCTGATGTGTTCATTACCTGTGTAACAGGGTAGCCTCTTTCAGATTTCCCTGGAAAAAAAACACACACAATCGCTTGTATTCAGGCAAAACGGTTCAATTATTACAATTGGATTACTAATGGCAAGGGTTATACAGAATCTGAAATTATTTTTTGCTGTTGTTTAGATTTTTTTTGAGCTGGCAGTATGAAAACTTCAAGAAAATCTGGGAATGCATTGAGCACGTCAACATGAAAAAGCATCAGCGACCCATTTAACTTCAATAATGTGGCGCAAATCTGAGTGAAACAGGACACTGGAGGAGGAAAGTATTAAAACATTACAACACATTAATGCATTAAAACTTCCCCCTTCCAGTGCATTCACACAATTAAGTGGAATAAATATATCTATAAATAAATATAATATATATATATATATGTGTATATCTCGAAATTACAGAAAGTTGTATACTATGAAACATTATGTACTTAACTCACAACATTTACTGGGAATAAATTTATATTTTAATGTAATATATATATATATATATATATATATATATATATATATATATACATATATTACAGAAAGTTGTATACTATGAAAAATTATGTACTTAAAACTCACAGCATTTACTGGGAATAAAATTATATTTTAATGTATTGTAAATAGAAATATAATTCATTTTAAATTGTATATATATATATTCTTATATTATAAACAGAAATATAATTCATTTAAATTATATATATATATATATATATATTTAAATGAATTATATTTCTATTTACTATCTATATATATATATATATAATTATAATATATATATATATATATATATATATATTATTCTATATGTATATATTTTAAATGAATTATATTTATATTTACAATATAAGAATTTATTTATATATATATATATATATATATATATATATATACACACACACACACAGTATATATTTATAAATATTTTTTATGTTATTAATTAAATATAATTGAAGTAATTTTAAGGCATTAAAACTTCCCCATTTAGTTCTTACACTCCAAATTGTAATATAATTAAATGTATAAATATGTACACATACACACACACAGTTCTCTCTAAATTAGTGATGAAGCTGTGTTACTAGTAAACTAACATTACAACACATGACTGCATTAGATCTGAAGCGTTGTGATTAATTGATGACTGCTAATGTTGGTCTGAGAGTTGCTGGCCTCCATCTGTCTGTGTGTGTGTGTGTGTGTGTGACCTCGCCGGGCTGAGGTACGCCGCTTATGGCTTTAAGACTGCGCACAAACAACAAATTGTCCCATTATAAATGCCTAAGTGGTAATTAGTTAAAACGCAACCCCCACCCGCTTTAAAGCCGGAGGGGCGGTGGATTAAACCCCCCCGTCGGAAAATCCCTGCGTGACCTAAACCTGCGCAGGACAGCGGGCGCTCGCGCGGCACACTTCACAGGCGGATCTGAAGAGGAAATGAGGTCGACCTGATGTGTAGTTTGTCACTAACACACACAACGAGTCTTCAAAAACTCCTCATCACCGTAAAAACTCCCTAAAATGATTGTGTGAAATTTTGCGGGTAATTGCTGTAATTTTAGTGTTGCATTAACTTACCGTCAATATCCAAGTTGTACATGCCGTCGTGCTCAGGGTAGTGCGGCCCATCTCCATACAGCTAACACACAGAAACACACACTCATATACAACAGCGGCACTGACAATACACATGTAGAAGTGGTTATACCGTCAAATATCGATAATGTCATGACAGGGATTGGCATGTTTACATAACATTCACAAAGGATGAACCGTGACCATGGACTTATTTGATCTAATAATAATTTTATTTATTTTTTTCTATTGTTTTTTTTCTCTCTTATTGTTGTTATTATTTCTCTCTTTTATGTTAATAAAATGTTTAAATCAATAAAAAGACAATTGGGAAAAAAAATATCGATATGACTGAAAGTTGTATACTACGCAACATCATGTAATTAAAATTCGCAGCATTTACTGGGAAGAAAATTATATTTTAATGTACTTATATTTAAAATAAGTAATATACAACTTAAAAATTGAATAATAATGTACATGTATGCATGCATGTATATAAATATATATATATATATATATATAGGCTACACATATAAAAATGTAAGGTCAAATATAAACTATTTAAAAATTGTATTTAATTATTAAATGTAATATTAAAATGCCTGTTTCTTCATATAAATGTACGATATATATATATTATATATGAAGAGTTCAGATGCAAAAGCCTCTAAATGCCATTTGAAATGTTCTTCTTTAATGATGATTTTTATCAAACTTGTATATTTAAGTTCAGTAATTTCACTTAAATTACAATTAATAGGTAATTATAATTGCCATTTAAGTTTTTTTTTCATTTTATATATATATATACACATACAATTTTTTTTAAAAATGATTTATTTATAAAAAAAATTACAATTTATTGGATGGATGGATAAATTAAATATAGACTTTCACGTATGGCAGGGACCCGGTTTAATATTTAAGTTCAGAGAGGACACATCATTCATTCGCTCTCACACACACACACACACACACACACGTGACGCGTCTAACATTCATGCAGCCTGACAGGTGAGAGATCAGCGCTAGACCGAACAGGTAAACACGAGGATCACCGGCAACGGCCAGCTAATCTCCCACACTGACCGACTGACCTACACAACACACACACACACAGCTTACGATCTAAAGATACACGCCAGCTCCCTTCAAACTAAATCGGAGTCGTCTTAAAGTGGACCAGATATATAGTCCAGTCGGGATTGTTTGCTTTACGGATTAAGATCTGATGGATCAAGCGAAGCATGAACAAACACCGGAGATACACTGTCGAGTGTGTGTGTGTGTGTTCGTACCCGTGCGCCGAACGAGGGGCCGTTCGCTTCTCCTGAACCCCAAGGGCCCGAGCCACTTCTTTCATCTAAACCTGAAACACAAATAAACATCAGTATTAAGAAACATACACAATAATTGCTTTCACATCATGGCCAATAATCAATTTGGCATTATAAACTTATACCGTTTAATCTACACTAACATAATACAGTTTGGGGTCGGTAAGTCTCTTCTGCTCATCAAAGTTGCATTTATTTGATCAAAAACGCTGTAAAAATTGTGAAATATTATTGTAATGTAAATCTAAGTTTTATATGTGAATATACAGTAAAGTGTAATTTATTCCTCTGTATTTTCAGCATCATTACTCCAGTCTTCAGTGTCACATGATCCTCCAGAAATCACTCTAATATGAGGATCTGATGATCAATTGAAAACAGTTTCACATTTTCGTGGAATTGTTTGTTTTTTTCAGGATTCTTTAATAAAAAAAAAAAACACCATTTATTTGAAATTGAATCTTTAGTAACATAATAACATGTCGCTTTTGATCTATTTAATGGCGTCTATGCTGAATTAAAGTTAATTTCTGTGCAAAAATCTCTGACAAAACGTTTTATAGATACTGTATTTTTTGAATGCATTTAATATAATAAATGCATAAAAACGAAAAATAATCATTTAGCACTTTTGAAAACCTGTCACGGAAAGAGTGCTCAATTAGAAATACGGAAATCAAAATGTAAAAAGAGAAAGATTATCATCAATCTTGGCTAATATATCCAACAACTGACCATTGACCAATATATGCTACAATAAATAAATAAATGCATGCATAAAGTCAAATAAACAATGCATAAATTGATGCATAAACGCATTAAAAGATAAATGTATAAATAAACCTAAGAATAAAGTCATAACTAAATATATAAATGCATTAGAAAAATTATGAATAAATGAATGCACAAATAAATAAATACGTAAAATACATAAAGTCAAACATAAATGCATTTAATAAATGCATAAATACATAAATATATAAATGAAGCCTGCCACAGAAAAGAGTGCTCAGTTAGAGATACAGTAATCAAAATGAAAAAAGAGAAAGATTATCATCAATCTTGGCTAATATATCCAACAACTGACCATTAAGAAATATATGCAACAATAAATAATTAAATAAATGCATGCATAAATTGATACATAAATGCATTAATAGATAAATGTATAACTAAATACATTAGACAAATTTAATAAATAAATGCATTAAAAAAATTATAAATAAATGAATGCAAAGTCAAACATAAATGCATAAATATATAAATGTATAAAAAAAGACAAATAAACCCTTCCACAGAAAAGACTGCTCAGTTAGAAATACGGTAATCAAAATGAAAAAAAGAGAAAGATTATCATCAATCTTGGCTAATATATCCAACAACTGACCATTTACCAATATATGCTACAATAAATAAATAAATGCATGCATAAACTCAAATAAACAATGAATAAATTGATACATAAATGCATTAATAGATAAATTAGACAAATTTAATAAATAAATGCATTAAAAAAATGATAAATAAATGAATGCAAAGTCAAACATAAATGCGTAAATATATAAATGTATAAAAAAAGACAAATAAACCCTTCCACAGAAAACAATGTTCAGTTAGAGATACGTGTGCAAAACACATATATTTGAACAAATTAATCAGTCAGTGTGTTGTCTGAATGGCTGGAGGACTAATAGATCTTAACAAGCCCTGTGGGCTGATCTCAGGTTTACTGGAGAGCATCTTAAGCCTCTTTCACAGAGAGATTGCAGAAAGATGTCCCGGCAGCGCTAGCTCACAGATCAGATCTCCCACGAGCGGTGCATTATCAGGTCAGGCGATGACCCGACTGAAGCTCGATGGTCGAAACTGTGTTTGTGTGTTCATCTCTATGTGATGTGACACGTGAGGTGAGCCGTCGACCAAAACCTCAAAGGTTTCAAAACCACAAATGTCACCGAAATTTGCGCTGGAACTCGTAAAAAGCAGCACACAAAGGCGGCAAAGACACCGAACGGAAGATTTTTAAAGATTGATGGTGCAGAAATTACCCGAAACCGCCCCCCGTCTGCGCCTTAACGCTCGCAAACATCTCTGGAGAGGAGAAGCTTAATTGTGTGCTGATTTGCATAATTGTGCATATTAATGAGGTCTCAGCTTATGAATATGCATTTTTGTTTTGTTGTCTAATTAAAATGAGGGAAAGGGGGGGTGATCATGACAGAGACGGCGACGGAGCGGAACAGAAGTACGGCGGACGAGTGAATTACGACTTTAGAGACATTTCCACGATCCTCGTGTGTGTGTGTGTGTGTGTGTGTGGGGGGGGGGGGTCACAGGCTTGTGTCAGCAAATTCAATAAAATGGCAAGGGACACACAGTCGAGTACACACACCACTGACGGAGCAGAACCAGCAAAACAGGAAAGAATTATTCAAGCACTGCCGTTGCTTTACTGCAGACACACAATGAGGACGGAAAGTTCATTACGATTTAACAATAACGCGACTTCCTGAAGCCGGTGGATCATCATCCTGGGGATCGCAGACGAGACCGGGAGAAAAGTTAAAAATAACAAAGCTTTGTAAATAGCATAACTTATATATTTGTAAATGTCATATTTATAAAGATTGGTAATTATTAGGAGATCTGCTGAAGACTAAAACAAGCGTGTTTGTGTCAGTGAAGATTAACTTAAGTGAACGCTTGATCACGTTAAGGTAATCAAAATGTAAAAATAGGAAGATTGTGGCTAATTTATATCCTACACTGACCAATATATGCTTCACTGAATAAATGCATAAATAAACAAATGCATAAATGAATGCATAAGTGCATATTTGCATAAATAAATAAATGTATAAAACTTATAAATAAATAAATGCATTAGATAAATGCATGAATAAATGCATAAAAAATACATGCAGAAATTTATAAATGAATGCACAAATAAAGGCATTACACATATATGTGGATGTTTAAGCATTTATTTGTTCATTCATTTATGCACAAATATATATATATATATAATATATATATATATATATATAGAGCCTGACTGATAAATGATTAGGCCGATACGATACAAATATTTGTTGGTTTTAAAAGCCGATATATCGGCCGATATTTAAAAAAAAACATTTTATTTCAGAAACGCGAAATAATTTTATTTTATTTTTTAAATATGCATTCATCGGCCATTATAACTGCTCATACCGATAGTTTGGAAAATGCCTAATATCGGCCGATAAATATATATATAATATATATATATATATATATATATATACTGTATATATATATATATATAAAACGGTCATACATAAATGCATTAATAAATAAATGTCTAAATACATAAAAAAAATGAATGCATAGGCTTAATACATGAGTTAACACAAATGTATAAATAAACTTTTATATAAAGTCATAACTAATTGCATTAATACATAAATCATGTATTGATGAATGCATACAAAAGATTAATGCATAAATAAATGCAATAAAATAGAAAAATTGCATTAGTACATAAAAGTATAAATTAAATAAATAAATGCGCAGATACAGACATAAACTCAAATAAAGTCATACATAAACATTAATAAATAAATGCATGAATAAATAGGCAGCTCCCAAGCTTCTGGGTGAGGGCAAGCAAGAGGACTTCAGTCAAACTCAGACTTCAGTCAAAAAGAAAGTGATTATATTTGAAGGCTAAATTATGAGGTTTTTATTTAGAATAACGTGAACTGATGAATCATTAACAACGAGACCCAGACTGTGCATTAATAAAGTACGGTCAGTTGTTGATCATGTGGAGTGTTTCAGGTACAGGGGAAGTGAGATTTGTGTTTTCAGCTATCCGTGGCGGGTGGGAAACCGAGACAGAGATGAAAGACAGCTAATACTGTGAAATACTGTGAGAGAAACAACAGGAGGGTGATGACATATCAGCACAGTATGAAAAAAAACTCAAAAATAGAGGTGATCCATATTCATAAGCGCACTGAACATTCACTCCAATTACCAAACTGATTAGTGGGAGGAAAAGTGAGAAATTCATTCAGAAAAGTCCCTTCTGCTCTCCAGACGTCCATAAAGATCTCTCTACATTAATAGCGAACGGCTGAAGTTATGAGACATTCCCCTCCGCACCTGAATAAACAAAACTTTGCTCTGCAGGCCCAATAAAAAGCGTCTGCTGCGCGTTTGAGCGTCTAATGGTTACAGCTGATCCGCAGAGGCCAGCGACCCTCCAAATCACAACCACGCTTTATATACACCACACACGGGTGAGAAACACGACCTGGCGGACGTCTGAACGCCTCACGATAACAGAGAAGCCCATGCTATCGAATAATGGACCTGCTTAGAGAAGGAAACTCATCTGCTAAATGCTTTAAAAGGATTCAGAGGAATCGTCGTTTTAACCAAAGTAAAAATTTGAATATCGTGCAAAAGTTCAGTAATTCAACTTAAAAGGTGAAACTAATATATTATATAGACTCATTACATGCAAAGTGAGATATTTTCTTATAATATTGATGATTATGGATTACAGATATGAAAACCCAAGTCAAAATTAGAATATTGTGAAAATGTTTTCATATCTGTAAGCCATAATCATCACAATCATAACAAAATATCTCTTGAAATATCTCACTTTGCATGTAATGAGTCTATATAATATATTAGTTTCACCTTTTAAGTTAAATTACTGAACTTTTGCACGATATTTGAAAATTTCAAATTTCACCTGCGAAATGTTTAAATGCATTAAATGCACAAAACACTGAAAAATAAACTAAACTAAACTTTTTAAACTGAACACAAGTTGGGCCCTTTAATCAATGCAATGCAGAAAACAAACAAAATCACGGATTTAAAGAGATAAATAAATGCATTTTATACATGCATATATATATACAGTATATATATATATATATATATATATATATATATAAATGTATACCGCTGTACAACCATAAAACCGTATTCTAGACAAATGTGGGCAAAATAGATGATTTATTAAAAAAAA